AGCATGGGCAGGAACAAAAGCATCTGGCAGCGCCCCAGGATCCGCACGTAGGCGTTCGCTGCCACCACCTGCATCAGCAGGTCCTCCAAATGCTCTAGTGTCCTGCTCGGAGAGCCCGAAGAAGTCGCCCTGGTCGAAGCCAGGGTCGGCACACAACTGCTCAAAGTCGTCGCCGAAATCGAAGGTATGGGAATCTGCCGCCATGGTGCCGATAGTGATGGCAATCAGGAGCACGAGCCTAAGCATCGACCTTGAGCTTCTTGGCCAGCAGCTTCTGGCAAGAGTCCAGCTGGCGCTTGGCCTGGGCACGCAGCTCCGTCTCATCAGCGCTGGCTTCCAACCCAGCTTCAGCCACAAAGGTCCGAAGATCTTCCAGGTCCATATCTTCAGGTACAGGCATGTCAACATGCTCGGGCCGAACAGGCTGCTCAGCTTGCTGCTGTGGCGGCTCAGGGGGGCGCTGCTGCTGCTGTGGCTGCTGCTGTTGCGCGCGAAGCTGCTCCTGCTGTTCGGTTCGCTGCTTCCGAACCTGCTCAAGCCAGGGCTCCACGAACTGGGCGCAGCTGGCAGCCAACTGCGCACCGCCACCAAGGGACTGAACCAGGCTCTGCAGCTGCTCCAGACTGGCCGTGAAAGTGTCGAACACCGCCTGGTCGCTGCCTTCAGGAGCATGAGTGACCTGCTCAGGCGTACGAGCACGCAACAACTCCATCTGCTCCCTCTGTAACTGCACCCGAGCCTTTTCTTTGGTCTCCAATTGCTGCTTGAGATCAACCACCAAGTCTTGCTTCTCAGCAATGGCCTGCTCCTCCGACTCGATAGTGGTCTTGAGCTTCGCAATCTGCTGATCTGCCTTCTGAATCTTATTGCCAATGCCATGCACCTGCGCACTCAAAGACTTAGCATCATGGATCTCCTGCCGCAACTTTCGAAGAGATGTTTGAGCTTCCTCGTAGCCGATGACAGTCTGCGGGGCAACGCCCTTAACCTTGGCCGCCAGCTCGAGGGACGCAACAACCTGCTCCAGCGCATCCAGCTCCTGCTGCTTGCCCTGGGCGTCGTCCTTAGTGGTAGCGGCATCAGGCTGCGGAGGCGCATGCTGCACATTCTCAGTCGGCTTGACCCGAGGCAGCTGCTGCACCTGCTTCCGAAGGGCCGCCAACTCCTTGTCCTTCGCATCCAGTGCCGCACGCGCATTGCCCCCAGCAGAAGGAGGCGCACGAACACTGGGCGTAGGAATAGGTAGGTCACACTTGTAGACGCGTCCTTTGGCCCCACCACACAAGAAGCAAGAAGCAGCATCTGCATGATTGTGCCAAGGCTCGCCAGTTTTCCCGTGTGCGCAGTGCCTGCACACCCATCGCTTGGCCCGTGCTGCCCTGTCTCTTGCCGCTGCACCCTTCGGCGGCGCCATGATGACCGCAAAGAACGAGAGACAAAAGCAGCGATGGCCGTTCCGTAGCCAGGCAGCCTGGCCGTGGCGTCAAAACTGACGAGGGAGCCCAACCCCTCGGTGTAGGCGGAAAGCTGTCGAGCGCAAGGGCTCTGGCACTGCCGCGGACTAGCGGTATCCGTGAAAGCCAATACGGGCTCAGCCCGCAAAAGCATGAGCCTTGAGCCAAAATGGCTACGGACCTGTCGCCAGAGGAGGAGGAAGAGGAGGAGGAGGAGGAGGAGGAGGAGGAGGAGGAGGAGGAGGAGGAGGAGGGAGGAGGAGGAGGAGAGGAGGGAGGGAGGAGAGGATGAGGAGAGATGAGGAGGAGGAGGAGAGGAGGAGGAGGAGAAGGAGGCGGAGGAGGAGAGAAGGAAGAGGAGGAGGAGGAGGAGGAGGAGGAGGAGGAGGCGGAGGAGGAAAGGGAGGAGGGAACCGAGGAGGAGGAGGGGGAGGAGGGCAAGGAGGAGGAGGAGGAGGAGGAGGAGGAGGAGGAAGAGGAGGAGGAGGAGGAGGAGGAGGGAGAGGAGAAGGAAGAGGAGGAGGAGGAGGACGAGGAGGAGGAGGAGGAGGAGCAGGAGGTGGAGGAAGGGGAGGGGGAGGGGAAGGTAAGGGAGGAGCGGGAGGAGGAGGAGGAGGAGGACCAGTGCAGACCCAAGACTCATCAACGATGTTTGAATCAACCAACCCTCCTAGCTCCCTCGTCGTGGGCCCTACACGGGTTCGTTGCCATTGGGGGAAGTGCCCCGTTGGGAGACAACCGTTCGAAGATCCTGAAGCGCGCCAAAGCACCATTCTTGGAACTTCAACGCCACGAAGCAACTTGAGTTTCTGCGTCTTGACGATCCCGAATCGTGCCAGAACACAGTCTTGGGATTCCAACACCACGAATCAACGTAGCTGTTAAGGCTTGACAATCCTGATAATATGTGCAGAACACCGGTTCTGGTACGTTAACCAATCGACTCCGTGAAACTCCTGCCATTTTTGAAGACTAATGTGCGCGGCGCTAAGGCGAGAGCCACATTTTGAAAAGGAGCCGCCCTCCATTCATGACGTTCTTGCAATTTTTAGCAACGAATGCGCGCGCCTTCAAGGCGAGAGCCACAGTTGGAGAACCACCCGCCCTCAATCAGTAAAGCTGTTGCAGATGTTTAATGTACGGCGCTAAGGCGAGAGCCACATATTGAACACGAGTCGCCCTCAATCCGCGAAGTTCTTGCACATGGTTGAAACGAATTTGTGCGGCGCTAAGGCGAGGGCCACATTGTGAAAACGACCCGCCCTCAAGCCGTGAAGCTCTCGTGAAGTTTTAAGACGAATATGCGCGGCGCTGATGAGAGAGCCACATTTTGAAAACCGGCCGCACTCCATGTGTGAATTTGTTGTCAGTTGTTATGCTTCAGGATCACAAATGGTAAGGAAGTCTCAGGCGAAACGCCCAGCCCGCCCTTCCGATTTGTTCCAGGGTGCGACAGGGAGGACACGAAAAGGAATGGAGGAGGAGGAGGAGGAGCAGGAGCAGGAGGAGGAGGAAGAGGAGGAAGAGGAGGAGGAGGAGGAGGAGGAGGAGGAGGACGGCGGCGGCGGCGGCGGAGGAAAGGGAGGAGGGGGATGGGGAGGGGGAGGGGGAGGAGAGGGAGGAAGACGCGGACGAGGAGGAGGAGGAGGAAGGATAGGAGGAGGAGGAGGAGCAGGAGGAGGAGGAGGAGGAAGGAGGAGGAGGAGGAGGAGGAAGGAGGAGGAGGAGGAGGAGGAGGAGGAGGAACGGGAGGAGGAGGAGGAGGAAGAGGAGGAGGAGGAGGAGGAGGAAGAGGAGGAGGAGGAGCTAGTTTTTTGGCAACTTTTGGGTTCTCGGGGCCATCCATCGCTCCAAAAGCGTGTCAGAAATATCGTCGCTTACGGGAAGCGCCCGCCACCTCGCGGCGCGGACTCCTCGGCCACGATCCGCGATGGATCTTGGGCGGTGCCGTGCAGATGCCCACGCGGAACGTATCCATGGGATCGGTTACCCGCTGGACCGCGCTTCGTTGTCCAGACCGCGAGGGTTGGGACATGTATCGGAGGTTGGGGGGGTGAGATCGCAGTGAGACAGAGACCCCCCACCGGGAAGTCGGTTTCGGCTTCGTGATCGTGTCGTGCGTGCGGGCGAGGCGAAGCTGCGCGTGATTCTCCTGTAGCTAGGCCGAAGTAGGAGCGAACGTCCGTTCCCGTCCGCCGGTGGCTGGGAGGTGTCCCAGTTGGGCCGGGCGGTGTCCCGGGTGTCTAGGAGCGAAAGTCCGTTTCCCGTCCGCCGGTGGCCGAGAGGTGTCCCAGTTGGGCCGAGCGGTGTCCCGGGTGTCCCGGGCGTCCTGGCGCTAAGCATGTCGCTGATTTCATAATTCATTTTTGTCGGGGCCTGCGGTGGGCTTTCTTATCCAATCCAGCTTATATTATCCAATCCATCTTGTCCAATCCAATCCGTCTTATCTTATCCAACCCATCTTGTCCCATCTTATATTTTCCCACCCAATCCAATCCAACCAACCCAATCCATCAATTGTTTTTTCTGCGCCTGCGGCGGGCCAATCCAATACATCTTATCTTATCCTATCCAGTTCTTTCTATCCAACCCATAATATATTATCCTATCCGTCTTATCCCATACAATCCAATCCACCCAACCCAATCCATCAGTTCATTCTTGTCGGCGCCTGCGGCGGGCTTTCTTATCCAATCCAGCTTATCTTATCCAATCCATCTTGTCCAATCCAATACATCTTATTTTATCAAACCCATATTGGCCCATTTTATCTTATCCCACCCAATCCATTCCATCCAACCCAATCCATCAATGCATTTGTTTTTGCGCCTGCGGCGGGCCAAACCAATCAATATTACCTTACCCAACCCATCTCTTCCATTCCAACCCATCTTATCTTATCCAATCCATCTTATCCCATCCAATCCAATCCACCGAACCAAATCCATCAGTTCATTTTTGTGACAGGCTGGAGGTGCGTCAGGGTGGGCATTTGATCTCAATCCCCCCCAACCTCCTTATCGCCCGCAGGGCGGTCGTATAGGTATGTCGGCGCGCCGTTTGTTCCCACGCGCGGCCTTCTGTCTTTCAGAGGGCGCCGCGGGGCCAGCGTCGTCTCTCTCGAGCACGGGGCGCAGGGTTTGCCGCGGATTGCCGTGGTGTCGGCGTCGCCCATGTGGGCGCGTCGAGAGAAACTGGCGCGGCGACGTATCGGTCGTGCGAGGATTTCTCGCCACCCTGCGTCTGGGGGTTGTCAAAGGTGTTCCTGGCCCAAGACGTCCCTGGCGCTTCTCGCCGTTCTGGCCCCCCTGGGGCCCCTCTGGGCCCGAGGGGGGTGCTCTGGAGGCCGCGGGGACACCTTGGGGTGACCCCCGACGTCGTGACTTCTTCGCACGGCGGTCCCCTGGAGGTCTGGACCACTTCCTCGTGGCCAGCTGCTCATCCCAGGCTGCGCCGTGACGCTCCCGGGGTGCAGAGAGGGCGGCCGACGATGCCCCGAAACCTCCGGGGCCGCGATTTTTCGAGAGGAGGCCTGCGACCTCCGAGGTCGTAGAGGACTTCCTGCAGCTCGAGGCTGGCGGCGCCTGGGTGCTGCGCGGCGGCTCGCGCGTGGAGCTGCTGGTCGACCTGCCGCGCCTGGCGCCGGGCAGGCGCGGGCGCCCTGGCCCGCCGCGGAGAGGGCCCGAGGCGACCAGACGTAGCAGTGACCCTCCGCCGGAGTGACCTTTGGTGCGGGCCCGGGCATCCACACTTAGTGCAGCTTGCAGCTCACTTGAGGCGCCGCTTAGGCAGCTTAGGCAGTTTAGGTGCGCGGCTGTAGTTTGCTCCTGTTGTCAATTAGTAGGCCCGTGCCCCGGACTTACGAGTCGCCGCTTGCGCTCTCGCCTGCGGCCGCGACAAAAAAACCGGAGTGACCTTTGGTGCGGGCCCATGGGGGTCCCCCGACCGCCGAACGTGATGCGGTAGTAGCGTTTTGTGCGCTTGCGTTTGGCCCCCCCGCGGCCCCCAAAAAACCGCGCACCAAAGGGCACTCTTACCGAGGGTCGCTCTTGCGTGTGGCCGAGAGGCACCGGCCAGGCAGGCCAGAGTTACACAAGCAGTGGCGAAGCGTCCTGGCTCGCCTATAGGGCCACCAAAGAATGGCTAAGAACCTTTTGTGGTCTCCACAAAGTGTTCTTAGAACAGTTCTGGCTGGGACTGTCTTGCTGTAACACATCGGAATTCTGTTCTAAGAGCATCGTGTTTTTGCTATAAGAACATTCTTGGGTTCTGAGAACGTTTCGCGGTAGGCCTATAGGAATACCGGGACGGTCGGCCCCTGCACAATACACGTCGTGGGCGTTTCGGGCTGGTGGTGATGGGGGGTGGCCTAAATTCAGGCGGTCGCAACCGTGGATCAAGGGGGCGTGGATTCGCGACGGGTCCCGCTTCCATGGGAAGCCGCGGATTTCCGCCGCCGAACGAGGCGGCACCGGCCGCATTTTGGGTAGGGAACCTCCCCCGATCCATGGAGTTGGCGACCGCGCGCCACCTCCATGGATCGCTAATCCATGTTTGCGGTCCCCCGATACGGGGGGGTTGAAGAAGATGACCGTAAAGGGACACTCCAGGGCCCCTTTTGGAGCTAACGGGGGCCCCAAAGAGGTCCTAAAGTGCCATGTTGGGGCCCATGTCTTCACCCCCCATGTGGGTCACCCCCCACTACCACCCGTCGGTGGTGGGCAGAACCCCCCACCCTGATACGTCGATTAGTGAGTTGTCCGTTTGCGGTTCTCGAGAGGGCGCCGCGAGGCTTGCGCCCGCCAGGCTTGGGCCCGAGGTCGTTTTCATTGAACTACGTTTTGCTGAAGGGGTTTCTGTCCATCCCCGAACCCGTCCGAGCGTTGGCGGAACTCCCAGTCGGCTTGAACCGAGGCGGGGACGCCGTGGTCGGCGCTTCGGGAGCGCCGCTGTCGGCCAGGTCCGCCTCGGAGGGGCCCCGAAGCATCGTGCTTCCCGCGCTCGCCCCTCCGAGCAGCGCCGGCGTCGAGGATCTTCGCGGCCCGCGCGCACGTGGCGTTGCCAGCCGCGCCAGCTGCAGTAGAAATATAGGCGGACGGATGATGATGGAAGGCGAGCGGGATCACGATGAGGATGAGAATGAGGAGAGGAAGGAGGGGGATGGCGGGATGGCCAGCGAGGGGAGGGGGGGGAGGAGGGTGAGGAGCTTGTGAGAAGTCGACCGGCTTGTGGATGCCAACGCCGCGTGTGGGGACCAGGCGCCAAGCATTGGCATTGGTTACCCTCCTGCAGCACGGTGGCTCTCAGCCCCCCCGTGAAGGAGGGGGAAGAGTTGGGAGGAGGGGAGGGGGAGGAGCTCGAGGAGGAGGAGGAGGAGGAGGAGAAGGAAGAGGAGGAGGAGGAGGAGGAGGAGGAGGAGGAGGAGGAGGAGGAGGAGGACGACGACGAGGGCCCTGCGAGGGTCGTGCTGCCCGACGAGCTGGACCTCGACGAGGCCCTCGACCTGTCGAGGCACGGTCGCCACCTGAGCGCCAGCGAGGCGGCTGACGACGATGACGACCACGACGACGACGACGACGACGACGACGACGACGACGACGACGACGACGACGATGACGACGACGACGACGACCTCGACGAAAATTACGATGACGACGGCGGCGGCGGCGTCGGCGGCGGCGGTAAAGGCGATGACTTCGACGACCGCCGCGACGATCACCAAGACCGCGGCGGCGGCGACGGCGGTGGCGGCGATGGCGGCGACCGGGGCGATGGCGACGGCGGCTTCTGCTGCGGTGACAGAGCCGGCAGCGACGACGAGCACCGAGGCTTGTGTCGCTTGGAGCCCCACTTAGGCCTCCGGGGGTCTCCGGGCACTCGTGGAGCCCCGGGAGAGTTTCCGAGACCCCCAGGGGCCGACGACGGCAACAGCATCGGACGGCGACGGCGACGGCGACGACGGCGGCGACGACGACGACGACGCTGCCGACGATGACTACATCAGGGAGGCGACTCATGCTTTCAGGTGCAAGGGTCTGGCCCTGCGTCTGCTTGCTTGCTGTTTTTTTCTGGAAGGGGGTAAGGGTGTCGGTGCCCTTTGCTTGCTTGCTGTTTTTGGCGGCCTTGGCTTTGCTGCATCTGCGGGTCTTCTGGGGTCACCGTGAGGGGCGCCCGAGGCTCCCCCGAGGCTCCAACGGGGCTGGAGGCATTGCGGAGTCTGGGCAGGCCTCGGCGAGTTGTGCATAGCTTCCGGAGGCATTGAGCGGCCAGCGGAGCTTTGGGGAACCCCTGCGAGTTTCTGAGAGGCCCTGGGAAGCCCTCGCGGATTGGACGGCTCCATGGAGCCATGGGGGAGCTCGGACGCGTGGGCTGTACGTACGAATTCGCTATCCTGAAGCCATCTTGTGGTAACACTGGGACAACTCTGGTTGGACAATTTCGGGGCTACTCGGAGGCATCTTGGGGCTCTTGAGGCCCCCTTCGGGCCATCTTGGGGCTTTGAGGCACCCCTTCGTAATTTCCGAAGCGGGTATCCGAAAAAAGATGTGTGAACGAAGTCAGTCGATGCTTGCATGCGTGTTTCAGAAAGTTGTTGGGTTAATCTGCTGTTTCGTTCAAGGAGGTTAGGGGATCAGAGATTATCCGTAAGGGCTTCGCCCCCTGCCGCCGGCCCCCTCTCTCGGAGAATGGGCCATGGAAGAGCTAAGTCATGAGGCTTTGGCGCTGTCGTGCAGCAGTATCGGAACTTCATGCGAGGCCGATTCGCAATCGGCAAAACCAACTGATCACAAGAGGGGTTACCACACAGGGCGATTGGTAAGACGTGTATGGTTTACGAGCTTGGTTACCACACCTTGGGATTAAAGGGCCGAGGGAGTACTCGCAGTTTGGGTTACCACGCCTTGCGATGGATGTGCGTGAGGGGTGGCACCGAATTTCAGAAATGTGGCAAATCCCCTGTGTTTTTGGACCCTGACCCCGCGGATCTGCGTGAGGGGTGGCACCGAATTTCAGAAATGTGGCAAATCCCTTGTGTTTTTGGACCCTGACCCCGCGGATCTGCGTGAGGGGTGGCACCGAATTTCAGAAATGTGGCAAATCCCTGTGTTTTTGGACCCTGACCCCGCGGATCTGCGTGAGGGGTGGCACCGAATTTCAGAAATGTGGCAAATCCCATGTGTTTTTGGACCCTGACCCCGCGGATCTGCGTGAGGGGTGGCACCGAATTTCAGAAATGTGGCAAATCCCGTGTGTTTTTGGACCCTGACCCCGCGGATCTGCGTGAGGGGTAGCACGAATTGCAGCAAAAACCCTGAAATCTCCAAATGTGTTTTTGGACCCTGACCCCGCGGATCTGCGTGAGGGGTGGCACGGAATTGCAGAAATGTAGCAAATCCCATGTGTTTTTGGACCCTGACCCCGCGGATCTGCGTGAGGGGTGGCACCAAATTTCAGAAATGTGGCAAATCCCTGGTGTTTTTGGACCCTGACCCCGCGGATCTGCGTGAGGGGTGTCGATTTCGAGCCCCCCCAGCAATTCAGACAACGCGCCCAGGGGGTGCTAAAAAGTCCTGTTTGGGCCTCCCCCCCCTCGAGCGGTCAATCAACTAGTTACAGTAACCAGCAATAAGTCAACTAGTTACAGTTTCCAGCAAGAAGCAGAACTGTAACACTGGAAACTACAAGCTACAACTGGTACAGGAAACTGCGAATCCCGCGCCTCGCAGCCTGGTGGCCCCACAAGGGGGCCGGCGGATTTGCTTGCTTGCTAGTTTGAAGAGGTTTACATTCGATGTTTGGTTTGCTTGCTTGCTTTTTCCGGACCCTTCTTGAGGGGTCCGAGTATTCGTTCAGTTTGCTTGCTGATTTTCTGAAGAGTCTTTGGGAGTAGAGTCGCCTCCCTGATATGACTACGACGACCACTGACCCGTGGATCTTTCATGGGCCGCCCCTCCGAGGCCGCCGCCCTGGCCTTGCGGGGGCCCGACTGCGACAAGTGCTCTATCTGCCTGGAGGCTATCGGGGAGGAAGGCGAGGAGGAGGAGGAGGAGGAGGAGGAGGAGGAGGTCCCGAGCTGCCTCTCCAGGCTGCCTCTCGGCAGCCTTTGACCTGCGTCTGCTGGCGTAGGCAGGAGTCCCGCGCCGCCGTGCCGCCGCTGCTGTCGCCATCGTTTTTCCTTTCTCTCTTTTCCTGCTGCCTGTGTCTCGGCGACGGTGACGGCACTGCCCGATGACCGACCGACCGACCGAGGTCCCGAACGATGAAGGGGCGTGTGGTGACCAATCGCCTCTCAGCTGATAGAAACAACATGAACGAACAACTCCACAGCTCTCTGGGCGAATGAGACGGCAAGGCGCAGTTCCTGCACGCACGCGACGCCCGCTGGAGGAAGAGGAGGACCAGTGCGAACCCAAGACGCACCAACGGTGCTGCGATGAACCTTCCCTCCCAGCTCCCTCTTCATAAGTCCCCACAAGCATTGATGTTTATTGCGGGAGGTGCCCCATTGGAAGACACCCGTTAGAGAATCTGTAGTCGTGCCAGAACACAATTCCTGGGACTTCAGCGCCGCGAATCACCCGTGATTGTTGCGTCCTGACAGTCTAAACTGCGCCAAGTCATTACTCCTGGCATTCCAACACCGCGAATACCAAGCCCCCCACCTCCCCTGGAACTCGTTCTGTCGCTCCGAGTTCCTCTCCCTGGCCAATTGGTCACCCTCTTCGGCCCTAACCTCTATCCTCACGAATGCCATGGCTTGCGCGTGGAGATGCGCCAATGGCGCCAGACACGACTTGGGGATCGCTTGCCAGCGCTTGGCTCTTCGCAGCTCCGCATTGCCCAACAGCGGGCACGCGGCGCCGTGCGCGCTGCACTCGCATTCCATCCTCGCCCGCGGACGCCGAGGAGCGCTTCCGCGCTCCTCGGCAAGCTCTGCCTGCCCTGGCCAGCTGCCGTTGCTCACTGGCCGGCGCCTGCGCACGCGGCTCTCCCGTCCGACACGCCCACTCGGCTCGGGGGGCGATGGGACCTGGCGCGGGACACTTCGAGCCGGGCGCCGCCCGGTGTGCGCGGGCGGTGCATGGGTACGACTGCGGGAGGGTGGAGAACCACGAGCCGCATGCCCGTCACGGACACGCCGTGGAGCTGCATGTTTCAGACGAGTAATCTTCGATTTCTTGGAAAATATGGGAAGTGGTGGGGAAGACAAAAACCTAGAAAATATAGGAAAATATGGTGCATCTGTTTATTTGTGTGTATTTATTTGTGTGTCCTGGGGCCCCTTCAATGTTGGGGTGCCCTCGCCCCGATTGCATGGAGCACTAGTCAATGTGCCCCCGCTTCACGTACTTCGCTTGTCGTCCACGCGCTGTCGTCCCGCCGTGTCCCCTTCTCCATCTGGGGCCTGGGCCCCCTGTGCAATACATCGTGCTTGACCTCACCCAGGAAAATAGTATTTCAGTAATGGCTTTCAGTTCCTATGCATGCAGCGTTGCTAAGGGAATGGTCTCGCATCGAGACGGGCGCCCCCTTAGAGTCCGTCCCAGCAGCTGCATACCCTCAAAGCGGCACGTGCCGAAGTGCCGCACAACTACTCGATTCTCCCGCCTCCGCCTGGATCGGCCAGGCCTTACCCCTGGCTGAAACCCGCGAGGTGCTGAGTGCCCGGAGACCCTTGGACTCAAGAGGTACGGGCGCTCATCCTCCCCCTCTTGCTCTTCCTGTTCTTCCTCCTCTTCTTCTTCTTCCTCCTCCTCCTCCTGCTACTCCCCCTCCAAGTCAGAATCTCTGTTCGGGGCAGAATCCAGTAAAACCATAGGACAGGTATCACCAATATTAACGAAAAGCGATCCTGGGGAACTTGCTGGGCGACTTCCCCCCCTCCCCCTCGTCCTCCTCCTCCGTCTCTTCCTCTTCTTATACCTCCTCACAGTCAGAATCTCCTTTGGGGGAAGAATCAAGGAAAATAATCGGAAACAACAAAAAGCAGTAAAACAATAATCCAGGGGAACTTGCTGGGGAATTCCCCCCATCTTCAGCAAGTTCCCCAGGTTTGTTTGTTTTGTTGTGATGCTTGTTTTGTTTGTTCCTGTGGTCGTCCCTGCGCAGGAGTCCCACACCTTCCCAGTCAACCCCTGCACGGATTTGTGGGAAATCTTAAAATCATGGGGGGGCGATTACGAACCGAAACCGACAGATGATAATCCGTCTCGAAGTCTCCGCTTACATGTTGCCCATTAGAAAGTCCCAGAGCTCATGGCTTCTGCTCAGTGGTTTCATTCACAATCGCCTCTGGACAGCGCCGGCTTGGTCCTGGTACGGGAGATCGTCCGACGAGGACGCAGCGCAACTACCCGTGGGTGTTGAATTTGTTCAGGTAATTTGCGACGCTACTTGTTCTTGCATACCCACGGCTTATCAGTCCCTCCTGCATTCGTGCAGGAGTTGCTCTGGTGAGGCAGGAGGGGGGAGGGAAGAGCGGGACAATCACCAGCACGAACATTTGCAACATCATGCGAGTCTCGACTGGAGCCCATTGAGCCCATCTTTCTGCGGCACTTTTCGGGTGGGACCGATCTGAGCGTGTCTGTGGACCCGAATTTGGGCGTGTACAGAAATGCAACGCCTCGAAGCGGGACCTCGCTGTCCCCGCGGGGCTGCGAAGTGTTCGCCACTCTCGCGAGCTTCTGGCATGTCCAGCGCAGTGACGTCCTACGCGGACCACGCCTGACCTCGCCTTCCCTGCAGTGCTGCGATCTGTGAAAATGTCGACAGTTCGCCATTTTCGTGAGCTCCAATAGGACCAGGGCCAGCGCAGTTACGTCCTACGCAGATCAAGCGGGACCTCGCTGTCCCTGCGGGGCTGCGAACTGTGAAAATGACACCTTTCGTGAGCTCCTGGAAGGGCCATCGCAGTGATGTCCTGCGGGTCAAGCGAGGCCTCGCGTGTTTCGCGGGCAGCCTGCGAGCTGGGAAGAAACCGTCGCCTTTTTCGTGAGCTCCTGGGAGGGGCCAGCGCAGTGAAACCGTCGCCGCTTTCGTGGATGACGGCCGAGGCTGATCGAGCGGGGCCTCGACGTCTTTGCGGGGCTGCGGCATGTGACAATGTCGCCGTTTTCGTGGGCCCATGTGCATGGACGCGGGCGAGCTGGACGGGCTGTGGCTGCAACTTTGCGCGATACCCTCCAGAGCCACGAGGGTCGTTAATCTGATGATGGTGCGCGACCCGGGCCTAGACTTCCTTCCCCAGGGACCGCCAATGGGCGGCGCGCCCGTGGAAGTTTCACCCTGGTGCCGAAAGTTGCCAGAAATGAGCAGCGAGACTGGCAATAGAGCTAGGCCTCACCCGCTTCCGGCACTGAATAGAGTTGGGCGCTCGAGCAGCCAGGGCGGCGCGTTAATTTCGTCTCCGTACGCTTGCCCCCTTTCTCTTCCCCGATTATTTTTCACCTTCTGAGCATCTGAGCAAGCAACCCCATCCACGTATCTCCCACAAGTTCCTACATTGTTGCGTTTCCGTTTTCTCTTGGTCATCGTTGTCTGTCTGTGTTCTCGGGTGTCCCACAAGTGCCCCTGCTGGTCCAGATGGCGGCGTCGGAGGACGAGCCGCTGGGCAGTGCACCCGCGCGGGGTCCCAACTGCCAGAAGGATTTAGTCGAGGATCTTTGAAGGATCCTAAAGGGTTCCCAGGAATTCGTCGTCGTCGCTGTCGTCCGCGCCCGGGAGGTCGAAAACAAGGGGGTGCCTCCGGAGGAAGGACCCCGATCTCTGGGGGGAGGAGCGGGGGGGAGACAGCAAAGGAGACGAGGGAGGAGCGAGGAGGAGAAGGGAGGAGAAAAGAGGAGGAGGAGGAGGAGGAGGAGGACGAGGAGGAGGAGGAGTGTGCATATTTTTTACACATTTCGTCGTCGGCGGCTTTGGGGCATTCGGGGGAGCTGTAGGGCTCCTGGAAGCCTCCGGAGGTTTCTAGAGGCCCCCCGAGGCCAGCGGTGACGAGTCTCCGGTTGATCAGTCGGCCCCCGTTCACTTCGCAAGCATGTCGCGCTGCTCTCATTTGTGCGCCGTCTTGTGCTTGGTTCGCCTTGAAAGCACCCTGGACGTTTTTGCTCGCGTTTTCTACTTCGTGCTCTTGACAGGCTGAAGACGCTAACAAAAAGTGCTAGGTTTTTTAGCTTTTTCAGGGTTGTTTTATTGGCGTTTTGTTTTGCGTTTTCGGGGCGTTTTCAAGCTGACAATGCTAAAACACCGGTCTGGAAACGCAAAGACAACGCATCATTGTATAAGCGTTTTTAGTTTTTTAATGGAGACCCGAAAACGCCCAAACATGATTTCCAAGACGCCGAGCTGAAAACGCTAAAAGAACGCCCTGGGCAGATTTAAGGCGAACCAAGGTCTTGTGGTCAATGTGGTGCTCTCTGGCGAGCTGTCGTGCTCCAAGGCTGCCTTCGAGCACGACTGCTGCACGAGCTCGAAGGCTGCCCTGCGTGCACCGTCACTGCCTTAGGCAGTGGCGGTGCACGCAGGGGCACTTCGGTGCTCACGGCGGCCCCGCCGTGATGTGATCGGGAGGGAGGAGCTCCCCTCCCGATCACGCCCCGCCCGTTTTTCGCGAATAAGAAACAGACAGGCTCTTGCCCTATTCGAGCCTGTCACGTGAGTCGTGCACCGCGCGAGCTTTCTTTGAAGATTTCACAGCACATTGCGTTTCTTGTCGCGTCCTCGCCCGCAGCAGTTTGGCCCGCTGTCCTGGCCACTCGTGACAGATGGGATGGGTGCGTCGCTAGGGTTGTGGAGGGCGATCTTACATCTTAAGCACATTGTAAGTTCAATGATAGGACAGTTGGGGTGTCCATTGCGATGGCATCCACAACGCCAGGGTACGTTCCCCAATCCGCGAGCCCCAGCGGCCTCGGCCCGCTCCCCCAGGATCGCTTCCCTCCCCTGATCACGTCTTCACTGCCCTGTGGCCCGAGCGTGGCCCCCAGATGCCGAAATCGAGAGAAGACGCGATCCCAGAAATCGGAGGCGGGCGGGGGGGGGGAAATGAGCAGGAGAAGGCCTTCTCAGAAGGCGGCGGGACTTCTCAGAAGGCCTCCGGCCTTCTGAGAAATTTTGTTCTGCCCTCGGGGATGGCTTGGAAAACTTCTCAGAAGTCCCTGGAACTCCAGGGGGGAAATGAGCAGGAGAAGGCCTTCTCAGAAGGCGGCGGGACTTCTCAGAAGGCCTCCGGCCTTCTGAGAAGTTTTATTCTGCCCTCGGGGAAGGCCTGGAAAACTTCTCAGAGGTCCCGGGAACGTCCGAGCCTTCTGAGAACGCCTTCTCCTTCTCACTTCCCCGCTGGGCGCGCCGCCTAAGAAACCCGACGTAGTGTCGTTTCAAAACCTTGGAATAAGGGAACAACAAGTGACATAAACATAAAAACTCGGAGGTCCGCGCGGATTTCTCGGATCCGCGCTGGGGCCCCCCGGCGGCGCCTCCGGCGCCGCCCCTGGCGCGCTCCGCGCGCCAGGGAGGGGGGTCCACCGCCGATCCGAGAAATCCGCGCGGACCTCCGAGTTTTTATGTTTACGTCACTTGTTGTTCCCAGATGGAAGGAGGAGAGAAGCGCCCCGATGGAACGTCCTTCGGCCGCACGCAAGGGTGGCCTTCCGCCGGAGTGGCTCCTTGGTGCGGGCCCGCTGGGGGCCCCCCAAGCCTTGGCCTGCACGCGTGGGCTGGGCCCCACTCAGGGACCACATGTGGGCCCTACCCTTACGTCGGGCCTGTCCCTCTACAGGGGGAGTATTCAGAATTAGTAGAACAATGATCTGGGACGACTTTTTGACCATGTTTGAGCATTTGGGGTGTATGTTTTGACTATTTTCTATTTGTCGTCCAAAATGCGCCTGTAGGGGGACATGCCCGACCTAACCCTACCCCCACCCCCCACGATTTCTAAGATGGGGGTTCACTTCGTTCGGGAGCTCCCGAGCGAAGTGACCCGCCCCCCACCTTCCCTCAGAAATCGTGGGGTTTCTGGGTAGGGCCCACATGTGGTCGCCTACCCGTGCAGGGCCCCCTGAACCGCGCACCACACTTGTTGCTGCCAAGGGTCGCTCCTGCGTGCGGCCGAGTCCTCTGGGGGAGCACGCGGCGGAGGACCGGCGGCCCGCCCGCCCACAGGCCATCGGCGGCGGCGCGGCGCCATCCGCCGCGCCCGCCGCCAGCTTCGAGCTGAGCTGCGGGCACGTCTACCACACGGACTGTCTGCAGCAGTGGCTCACCTCGCCGCCTGGGGCCGCCGCCGCCGCTCGGCTGCACGCAGGAGGTGGTCCTCCGCCAGAGGGGCCTCTGGTGCGCGGTGTCCCCGCGGGGGCGCGGGGGGGCCAGAACCGAGCACGCTGGCCGCGTCCCGTCGCATCCCACGGTGCCGCCGGCAGGCCGCGCACCGAAGGCCACTCGTGCCCAGGGTCATTCCCGTGGCGCGTGCGCAGCCGAGCCGCCGCTGCCGTCGCCGCCGCCGCCGTCGGCGTCGTCGTCGTCCTCATCGTCGTCTTCGTCGTCGATCTGAGGGATCGAGGACCGAGGATCGAACATTCAGGTTTGTAGACTTGTTGTTGCTTCCTGAGGCGCCTTCGTGGCCACGGCTGGATCCGCCTCGAAATGATAGACGTTTCGCGTAAATATTCTTAGCAGCCCATCCAGAACAGATGTTTGGAGCCATCTTAGGAGGAAGGGGAGGGGCAAGAGGAAGGGGCAAATGATGCTGGTGATGATGATGATGATGATGATGATGATGATGATGATGATGATGATGATGATGATGATGATGATGATAATGGTGATGGTGACGATGATAATGGTGGTGATGATGATGATGGTGGTGGTGGTGACAATGACGACGATGACAATGACGATGACGATGACGATGACGGTGACGGTGTCGATGCTGCTGATGATGATGTTGATGGTGATGATGATAGTGATGATGATGGTGGTGGTGGTGATGGTGGTGGTGATGATGGTGGTGGTGGTGATGCTGCTGCTGCTGATGGTGGTGCTGGTGGTGTTGATGCTGATAATGATGCTGACGATGCTGATGCTGCTGCTGATGGTGATGATGACGATGATGATGATTGTGGGGCCTCTCGGGTGCCTTTTTGCGAGCCTCCTGTTCCCTCCCTGCACATCCCTCCTTCCTCCGTCCGTTCGTCCCTCCATCCCCCCATCTTTCCGTGCATCCCCATCTTCGTTCAAGGCGCCCTCCTCCTCCTCCTCCTTCTCATCCTGCACCTCTTCCTCCTCCTCCTCCTCTCAACGATGTGCTGTTTAGCCGAACCTGCAGGGTGGGCCCTTTCCCAAATTCGTGCTTCGGTGCGGATCGTAAGCGCGCCTCGTCTCCGTCGTCGTCGTCGTCGGCGTCGTCGCGGTCTTGGTGCGTGTTGCTCTGCTCGGGATTATGTTTCCCTTATGCAGTGACCACCCACCACCTCCTCCTTCTCTTCCCCCCCTCCGCCTCCTTGGGCGGATCCGTGAAAACAGATGCGGTTCAGTCCTCGGCTGCACTTCGCCGCATGCTGCAACGCCTCCCCGGTCAACGCAAGCTGCGCAGGGTCGATACCATCAATCATCACGGTTCGTACCCAGCGGCGCCCGCGCACAGCCGTGACTGCGAGCACCCGGGCGCCCGTGGGCGCCACCTCGCCGGCGAGCACCCAGTATTGGCAACCAGAGCACAAAGGGCGCAGGTCGCAAGATGATCAGCACAGCCGCACGCTCGAAGATGCCCTCCGAGGGGCCCCAACGTGGCAGTAAAATGCCTCGGGTCTGAAGGGGGGAGTGGCGAGGGCGCGGCCCTCCACATCACTTCGCCCAAGGGTTCGGCACGATCGACTCGCACCGTCCCGCGCGAAGCGCCAGGATGTCAGCCACTGCGCGCCAGTGCAACGAATACGTTCCCGCCCTCAAAGCTTCACGTGCGAGGGGGATGTATCATTCGAAGCCATCATGTCTTTCTTCGAACCTGCTTGTAGACATATTCCACATCAGATGTCGGAGGAAGTCCTACGCGAAATGCTCATTGTCTTGTGGTTTCGAACCAGGCGCAAACACAATTTTTGAGAGGACGTCCCACGCAATTCGTTTGACTCGAACTTGTGGTGAACCGGGCTCCGAGTCATCTGTTCGAAGGACTCCCACACGAAACGCTCACTTTTCGACCTTTTCGAACTGTCTTCGAATCGGTTTCCGAGTCATTGTTTGATGAAGTCCCACACGAAACACTAATTTGTCTTTTGTTTCGAACCAAGTGCGAACCTCGTTCGAGCCTGCTTGTCGAGAAAATCCCGCACGAAACGCTCACGTGTCTATTCTTTCGAGCCGATTTCTATTCGTTCGAACCGACCTTCGAATCTGGCGCGAACCGTTGCTGCGATGAAGCTCCACGCGGTTCGCCGTTTTCGAACCGCCATCCCGCTGGGCCGCAGCATAATCTAATTGGAAGTGCATGCCCGAGCTTGGCCGCTCTCCGCCGACACAGCTCCTGCACAGGCTCCGCGCACCTGCCTGGGCACCTCCGATGCTCTCTGCGCCAGCCTGTCAAACATTTGGGCGGTCTCCTATCACGGCAGAGTGTTGACAAGGAGCGCTGAAAAGCCCATCCCCGAAGGAACGGGTGCGTTGGAACAAAACACCCTAAATCACCACCGCCTTACGGGGGCTAGTCGGATTCTGGTCGAAACGCGCTCCAAGAGAGGATTGGTGTCGTCGCTGTCGCTGTCGCCGCCGCCGTTGCCGTCGCCGTCGCCGTCGCCGTTGCCGTCGCCATCGCCGTCGCCGTCGTCGTCGTCGTCGTCGTCGTCGTCGTCGTCGTCGTCGTCGTCGTCATCGTCGGCGGCGTGTCGTCATCGTCGTCGGCGGCGGCGGCAGCGGCGGCGCTTTTCGATTACGACTACGATTGTGACGACGACGACGACGACGACGACGACGACGATGGCAGCGGCGATTGCGTCGGCGGTGGCGGCGATGACGATGACCCCTCTGGAGGCCTCGAGGCCTCCTGAGGTCCCTTGAGGCCTCCGTATTCAGCAGAGGTCTTCGAAATCCCCTGAGGTCTCCAGCGGCTTCCGGAGCTCCCCAGACACCCCCTTGGAGGTTCTTCTGCAGGTGTCCAAATCGCTTCTGGAGGTTCGATCCTTCTCTCCACGTGGACGACGACTGCGACGTTGGAGACGACGTCCCGGATCCATTTCCGATGGCCTGGGGCCCCGATGACGGCCCCCAGAGGCCGAAGTTGTGGAAGAGCATCGGTGTGCCCATTCTCGGTCGATCCTCAACCGACTGGCGACGACGGGAAAACGACGACGAGGACGGCGACCCATGGCCCCGAATCCTGGTCACCGTCGGTCTCTGGACTCGGCGGCGAGCCCAGGGGGGAAGTCCGAGGGGGCCTCCCCCGAAGACACCGAAAGCTTCTCAGGATACGGCCCGGGGGGTTCGGAGCAGCCCCGCCGCCTTCCGAGAATGCCTTCGCCCTCTCACTGGCCCCCCGGGCGCGCCGCCGAGAGAGGCCTCTCAAGGCCCAGCTTGGCCAGCAACTGTTGCCCCGCAGCAGGTTCTCAGCGGCTCCCGGGGGCCCGAAGCCGACGACGACGACGGCGACGACGACGACGCCGACGACGACGACGCCGACGACGACGCCGACGACGACGACGCCGACGACGACGACGCAGACGCCGACGCCGACGACGACGACGAAGACGACGACGACGCCGACGACGCCGACGCCCCGCAGCAGGTTCTCAGCGGCTCCCGGGGGCCCGAAGCGGGCTCCCAGGGGCTGAGCCCGAGGAGGCGAATCTTGGGCGCTTGTTTGTCCCGAGGGACGACGGCGACGACGTCCGCGGCGACGACGACGACCGACGCCGAGGCCGACACCGACGCCGACGACGACGACGCCGACGACGACGACGCCGACGACGACGACGACGACGACGACGATGCCGACGCTGACGCCGACGTCGACGACGATGCCGACGCCGACGCCGACGTCGACGATGCCGACGCCGAAGACGACGACGCCGCCGACGCCGACGACGACCCCGACGCCGACGCCGACGACGACGACGACGCCGACAACGCCGACGCCGACGACTACGACGCCAACGCCGACGGCGCCGACGACGACGAAGACGACGACGATGACGACGCCGAGGGCGACGACGACGACGCCGACGCCGACGACGACGACGACGCCAACGACCACGAAGACGACGCCGACGCCGACGACGCCGACGCCGACGCCGACGCCGCCGACGAACGACGCCGACGACGACAATGCCAACGACGATGACGATGACGACTACGACGACGCCGACGACGATGACGACGACAACGACGCCGACGCTGACGACTACGACGCCGACGACGACGAAGATGCCAACGCCGACGACGACTACGCCGACGACGACGACGACGCCGACGCCGACGACGACGCTGACGACTACGCCGACGCCGATGACGATGACTACGCCGCCGAAGACGACGATGACGCTGACGCCGACGCTGGCGAAGACGGCGACGCCAGCGACGACGACGACGAAGACGACGACGACGACGACTACACCGATCACGACGACGACGATGCCGACGACTACGACGCCGACGCCGACGACTACGACAACGACGAAGACGACGGTGCCGTCGACGCCGACGCCGACGACAACTACGCCGACGACGAAAAAGACGACGCCGCCGACGACGACGAAGGCGACGACGCCGACGCCGACGACGACGACGACGACGACGACGACGACGACGGCGCCGACGACGACGCCGACGCCGGCGACGACGACGAAGGCGACGACGACGCCGTCGCCGACGACGACGCCGACGACGACGCCGGCGACGACGACGCCGACGACTACGACGACGACGCCGACGAGAGCGTCGCCGACGATTTTCGACGCCGACGACAAAGAGGCCGAGGACGACGAAGACGACGACGCCGACGACGACGCCGACGACAAAGACGCCGACAACGACGACGACGCCGACGCCGAGTAGATTGACGCCGACGGTGGCGACGCCGACGACGAAGACGACGCCGACGACGCCGACGACGCCGACGCCGCCGACGACGACGCCGACGACGCCGACGACGACGACGCCGACCGACGACCGACACCGACGCCGACGCCGACGACGACTACGCCGACGACGACGCAAACCGACGACCGACACCGACGCCGACGCCGACAACGACGACGACGCCGACGACGACGCCGACGACGCCGACGCCGCCGACGCCGACGCCGACGACCAATACGCGAAGACGACGACGGCGACGCCGACGACGCCGACGCCGACGACCAATACGCGAAGACGACGACGACGACGACGACGATGGTGACGCCGCCGACGCCGACTCGGAAGACGACGACAACGCCGACGACGACGCCGACGACGACGTCGCCGACTGCAACGGCGCCAACGGCGACGAAGACGCCGACGACGACGAAGACGATGCCGACGACGACAACGATGACGACGACGCCGCGGACGACGTCGTCGCCGACGCCGACGACGACGACGATGCCGACGACAACGACGCCGACGCTGACGACTACGACGCCGACGACGACGAAGACGCCGACGATGACGACGACGCCGACGACGCCGACGCGGACGCCGACGACGACGACGCCGACGACGACGAAGACGCCGACGACGATGATGCCGACGACGACGACGCCGACGACGACGACGCCAACGACGACGAAGACGACGGCGCCAACGACGCCGACGCTGACGACTACGACGCCGACGACGACGAAGACGCCGACGATGACGACGACGCCGACGACGCCGACGCGGACGCCGACGACGACGACGCCGACGACGACGAAGACGACAACGCCGACGACGACGACGCAGACGACGACGCCGACGCCGACGACGCCGACGACGACGCCGACGCCGACGACGAACTGACGCCGACGCCGCGGACGACGACGAAGACGATGACGATGTTTTCGACGAAGACGATGCCGACGACGACGACGCCGACGACTCCGACGCCGACGTCGACGTCGACGACGACGAAGACGACGACGACGACGCCGACGACGACGACAACGCCGACGCCGACGACAACGACGCCGACGACGACGATGCCGACGACAACGACGACGCCGACGCCGACGACGACGACGACGCCGGCGACGACGCCAACGACGAACCACGATGTCGACGAAGACGACGGCGACGCCCACGACGACGTCGAGTATGTTGACGACGACGAACACGATGACGACGACAACGACGACGACGACTACGGAGACGACGACGACGCCGACGACGACGACGACGACGACGACGACGACGACGACGACGACGACGGCGGCGTCGGTGGCGGCGGCGACGACGACGACGGTGACCACGACGGCAGAGACGACGAAGACGACGAGGACGACGACCACGGCGGCGGTGGAGACGACGACGACGTGGACAAAGACGACGACGAGGATGGTGACGGTGACGACGACGACAGCGGCGGTGGCGGCAGTGGCGCCGACGACGACGCCAACGACGACGACTACGACGACGCCGACGACGACGACGTCAACGCTGACGACGACGCCGACGACGACGAAGACGACGACGACGCCTACGACGACAACGCCGACTCCGACGACGACGACGACAAAGACAACGACGACACGACGCCGACGACGACAAAGTCGACGACGACGCCGACAACGACGACGACGCCGACGCCGACGACGACGGCAACGCCGACGACGCCGACGCCGACGACGCCGACGCCGACGACTACGACTCCGACGACGACGCCGACGACGACGAAGACTACGACGACGCCGACGACGACGGCTCAGCCGACGACGACGACGACGCCGACGACGACGCCGACGCCGAAGACGACGACGCCGACGACGACGACGACGGCGACGCCGACGACGACGACGCCGACGACGACGCGGAGGACGCCGATGACGACGCCGACGACCCAGGCGTCGATGCTGGCGACGACGACGACGCCGACGACGACGGCGACCACGTGGGCGACAACGCCGACGCCGACGACGACTGCGCCTACGATGACGCCGACGACGATGGTAACGACGCTGGCGACGACGCCGACAACGACGAAGACGACGACGACGCCGACGCCAGCGACGGTGACGACGACGACGCCGACGACGGTGACGCGAACGACGACGACGACACGGAGGACGACGACTGTGGCGGCGCTCACGACGACGAAGACGACGACGACGCCGACGACGACGACGACGACGACAGGGAAGGCGACGACGACGAAGACGACGACGATGACGACGACAGCAACGACGACGACGACGACGGCGCCGGCGGCAGCGACGCCGACGCCGACGAAGACGATGACGACGACGACGGCGGAGACGACGACGGCGACAAAGACGACGACTAGGACGACGACGCAGACGACGACGACGACGACGACGACGACGACGGTGGAAACGACGACGACGACGGAGACGACGGGGACGATGACGACGACGACGACCACGACGGCGGCGGCTCCGATAGCGTCGCCGACGTCGCCGACGACGCCGACGACGGCGACGCCTACGACGACGACGACGCCGACGACGACGCCGACGCCGACGACGACAAAGACGACGACGCCGACGACGCCGACGCCGACGACGACGCCGACAACGACGACGACGACGATGCTGGCGACGACGAGGACGACGACGACGTCGACTAAGTCGACGACGATAACGATGACGGCGGAGACGACGAAGACGACGACGCCGACGACGACGCCGACGACGCCGACGCCGCCGACGCCGACGCCGACGACCAATACGCGAAGACGACGACGTTGCCGACTCCGACGACGACGACGCAGACGACGATGACGCCGACGACAACGACGACGCCGACGACGATGACGATGTTGACGGCGACGATGTCGACGACCACGACGCCGCCCTGACGACGACGACGACGACGACGGCCGCGGCGACGACGACGGAGGAGACGCCGCCGACGACGACGACGACGACGGCGGAGACCACGACGACTGCGACGACGACGACGACAACGACGACAACGACGGCGCTGACGACGACGACGCCTCCGACGTCGCCAACGACGGCGACGCCTACGACGACGACGCCGATGCCGACGAAGCCGACGACGACGAAGACGATGACGCCGACGACGAAGACGACTACGCCAACGACGCCGATGCCGACGACGACGACGACGCTGATGACGCCGACGACGACGACGCCGACGACGACGACGCCGCCGACGACGACGACGCCGACGACGACGACGCCGACGACGCCGACGCCGACGACGCCGACGACGCCGACGACGACGACGCCGACGACGCCGACGACGCCGGCGGCGGCGGCGGCGTCGACGACGACGATGCTGACGAGGCTGACGACGAAGAAGGAGACGACAACGACGGCGCTGACGACGACGACGACGACGACGACGGCGATGACGGGGACGACGACGACGACGACGACGACGACGACGACGACGACAACGTTGACTGCGGCGGCGTCGGCGGCGGCGGCGGCGACGACGACGCTGACGACGGCGGAGACGACGACGAAGACGTCGACGACGACGCCGCCGACGACGACGACGACCGTTGAGACGACGACGACGATGACGACGACCACGAAGACGACGACAATGACGTCGGCGGTGGCGACGACGACGACGACGACGACGGTGGAGACGATGACGACGACGACGACGACGCCGACGACGACGGCTGAGACGACGACGACGGAGACGACGCCGACGACGTCGACGACGACGTCGACGGCGACGACGACGACGACGGCGGCCGCGGTGGCGGCGGCGACGACGACGACGACGACGACGACGACGACGACGCCGGCGACGACGGCGGCGGCGGCGGCGGTGGCGGCGGCGACGACGACGACGGCGGATACGACGACGACGACAACGGAGACGACGACGACTGCGACGACGACAACGACGGCGCTGACGACGATGACGACGACCACGACAACGACGGCGATTGCGACGGCGACGACGACGACGACGACGGCGGAGACGACGACGCCCACGACGACGACGCCAGCGACGACGGCAACGGCGGCGGCAGCGGCGACAACGATGACGATGACGACGAAGACGACGACGACGCCGACGACGACGACGGCGGCAGCGGCGGCGTCGGAGGTGGCGGCGGCGACGACGACGACGGAGACTTCGACGACAACGACGACGGCGACGTCGACGGAGACGACGGCGACGACGACGGCGACCACGACGGCGACGACGGCGACGACGACGCCGACGACGACGATGACGATGGCGACGTCGACGACGACGACTCCGACGGCGACAACGGAGGCGGCGGCGGCGACGACGACGCCGACGGCGACCAACCGACCGCGCGTTCTGGCCAGAGCTTCTGGGGCCGACCCGGCCGTGGCGACGAGGGCGGCCCGGGAGGCACAGAGAGGCCCGAGCAAGTCAAGAAGCCTGGGCCCTGCAGCCTCGGCCCTCGTCGGGGATTGCTGGGGTGTTCCTGGCCCGAGGCCCCCCCAGCGTTTCGCTGCACTTTGGAGCCCCCGGGGCCCCCAGGCCTCGCGAGGGCTGCTCCCTGGAGGCCAGGGGTGCCTGCTTGGACACCCTGGGGGGACCTCCCGCCAGGGGCACTTCTGGCAGCACCCGACCTCGAGGACCGCGATTCCGGGATCGACTTTCGGGGGCGGCGGCGGCGACGACCCGCGAGGTTCGCCTCCAGGCGCCGGTGCCCCGCGTGCCAGCGGGAGTACGGGAAGGTGATCGGCGCGCAGCCCGGCGTGGGCACCCTGCAGTGGCACCTGGAGCGGGGCGCCCTGCCAGGATCGTGGAGTTCTGTGCGTCTGCGCATGTTTGTGCGTGTGCGTGCATGCGTGTGTGTGCGCGCGTGCGCGTGCGCGTGCGCGTGCGCGTGCGCGTGCGCGTGCGCGTGCGCGTGCGCGTGCGCGTGCGCGTGCGCGTGCGCTTGCGCGTGTGCGTGTGCGTGTGCGTGTGCGTGTGCGTGTGCGTGCGCGTGCGCGTGCGCGTGTGCGTGTGCGTGTGCGTGTGCGTGTGCGTGTGCGTGTGCGTGTGCGTGTGCGTGTGCGTGTGCGTGTGCGTGTGCGTGTGCGTGTGCGTGTGCGTGTGCGTGTGCGTGTGCGTGTGCGTGTGCGTGTGCGTGTGCGTGTGCGTGTGCGTGTGTGCGTGCGTGCGTGCGTGCGTGCGTGCGTGTGTGCGTGTGTGTGTGTGTGTGTGTGTGTGCGTGCGTGCGTGCGTGCGTGCGCGTGCGTGCGTGCGTGCGTGCGTGCGTGCGTGCGTGCGTTGCGTGCGTGCGCGTGTGTGTGTGTGTGTGTGTGTGTGTGTGTGTGTGTGTGTGTGTGTGTGCGTGCGTGCGTGCGTGCGTGCGTGCGTGCGTGCGTGCGTGCGTGCGTGCGTGCGTGCGTGCGTGCGTGCGTGCGTGCGTGCGGGGGGACGGCATGTGTGCGTGCTCTGCCCCGCGGCTCGAGGTCGAGGACCGCCGTGGAGACGCGGGCCTTCGCCACCAGCAGTGGTTGCACCCGTGGTGCAGAAGCGGTTGCACCCGGCCCGCCACCAGCGAGGGGTGGTCTCGAGGGATGGCGTGCACGGATGTCGTGCGCAGGAGTTGGTGGCCTGTGCGCTCTGCCGCGCACGTCGCGCGTGAGGGGGCGCAGCCGCGGCCGTGACGAGACGGGCCCCGCTGGGGCTGCAGGGCAGCCCCGCGGCGGCTCCACCGCGGGCCTCCTCCGGGCCGACGCCAGAGGAGCCGCGGGGGGAGGGCTCGCCCCCAGGGAGCCGCCGTGGCGGGCGCGGGGGGGGCGGGGGGGGCGCCGCCCAGCGCGGGCGGGGCCCAGGGGGAGGGGGCGGCGCCAGCGGGGGGCGGGCCCCCAGCAGCGGGGTCGCGGCCGGAGGCGTGGTCGAGCAGCGGGGCTTCCTCCCATCGGGCGGCGAGGAGGTCAGGCGCAAAGAGCGCGGGGAGGGAGCCTGCGTGCGGTTCGGATCCCGGCACCGGGGCGGTGGAAGGGAGGGTCGGGGTGGACACCGCCGAGAGAGCCGAAGCGGGGGAGGCTCCGCGAGAGGTGTCGGGGTCAGCAGAGGCAGGTGGCGGTGGACAGAAGGGACTGGCCGTGCCAGCGACCTCGATGGGCTCCAGATCCTCTTGCTAGGGCACGGCCTTCTTGTAAAGGTTGGGTCCGAGATGCGATTGACGCGTGTCCACGAGGTGACGACAGCTGCTCAGTTCCCTAGTTGTAGCAGCGGTCTGCTGCACCCGAGCGCTGCGCTCTGCGACGCTGTGCGGGGGCAGGGGCGGGAGAAGCGGGGGCAACACGGGAGTGGCCAGCGAGGTGAGGCGCGGGGAGCTCCGGGTCTCGACCTTCGGGAAGTCTCCGCCGCGGCACGATGTCCTGGCCAAAGTTGGGCCCGAGCCGCTGGTGGCGCGGGAGAGGGGAGGGGGAGGGAGAAGCTCTTGGGCGCGGTCACGCGGGCCCACTGGCTGACGAGAGCCGCCCCCCTCCCGAGCCCGAGCAGCGGTCCGCTGGGCCCCGGCGGTCAGAGCCTCGAGGCTGCAGGCACGTTCTGGGGCGGGGCCTCGGCCCCCGGTCCCCGACGCGGCAGAGGGGGAGCGGGGAGGGGCGAGGGAGGACGGGGAGCGGCGAGGGACGAGGCGCGAGCAGGGGGGGCGGGCAGGGGCGCGGGAGGGGGGGCAGCGAGGGACGGCAGGAGGTCGGGCGGGGGGAGCGGGAGCCAGAGCGCCGAGCCCCGACGCCGGGCAGGCACGCGGCGGGGCCCGTGGCGCCGGGCCGAGGCTGCCGCCCCCCCCCCCTCCCCAGCGGGGGCAGCGGGCTGGCCGAAAACAGCGAAAGCCTCCCGTCGTGATTTCTGCACGGCGCGAGGAGGCCTGGGATGGCGTGGAGGTTGGCCAGCCAGCTGCAGAGTGAGGCCGCGGGTCGGTGGCGGCCGCTCGGAGGCGGCGGTGCCGGTGGGTCGGCCGCGGGCCCCTCCCCTCCCGCCGGCCCACGGGGCTCCCCAGCGCGCGCCCGGGGCGCCCTGCTCCTGGAGCACGGAGCCCTCGAGAGGGGGCTGCCCCAGGTGTCTTCGAGCCAAGGGCTGCGGTGCACGCGCGCGCGCACGGGATCGGGCTCGGTCTCCAGCTCGAGCCCGGGCTCGGGCTGGGGCCTGGTCTGAAGCTCGCGCTCGCGCTCGCGGGGTCGGGCTGTAGTGGTCGTGCGGGTTGCCCCGTTGCCGTCTCGTAGAGTGTCCCGCGGGTGCCCCGCCGGCTGTCCCCTGGGTTGCTCCGCGGTTGTCCTTTGGATTGTCCCCTGGGTCGTCCCGCGGTGATTCCTGCGGGTTTCTTCTGCTTCCACATGCGCGTACATAGGCGAGTGATTGCGTGTATTGGATTCGTGAACGCATGCGCGCGCACAAACACGCGTTCAAGTGCGCGTGCGCGCATGCATCTGTGTACCCGCGAGACCACTGAAAGCATCTACTTGGGACGGTGGCCGGACAGCAAGTGCCCACGCCAATGGCGCGAAGAACCTATCACATGATGGTGGATAACATCTTGCACAACGTGTGTCCCAATCCCCTCCCCCCGAAGCTCAAAGTTGAAGTGTCCACATTTAGTTTTTCGCGCGTCGCCTCGCGTTCACCGCTGTCAACTTTTGGCCTGGGGGGAGGGGGCAATCGATTTGTTGGATGCACTTCGCCGTGGCGTTGTTCTGGCGCGATAGGCGTGGACACCGCTTGCCCACTCACCGCGTTTGCAAATTCTGCTCATCAGGTTTGAAGGCCACGCACGCTGTTCTACTGTGAACGTCGTCCCGCGCGGGGCGCGCAGTGCAAAATTCCACGCTGCTCGCTGAAACTCGCTATCGTATTCGTACATTGCTCACGAGATCAAATAGGGTTGGGGATCATACTCGTAGAATTGTTTGGCAATGAACACGATGTTACACTCTGAGAACTGCGACGAGCAATATTTCTACCCTCTCATTCCACGCGAGGCCAGACCTGTGCTCCACGGGCTTGTCTGCGCGGTGGCTGCAGGAAGGGATTCGAGCGCTTCGCTCGTTTGGAGGTCTGGGCACTACCGTGCCGGCACAGCCGACGACAGTTCTGCAGGCCCACGCCTTGTCCCGTCTGGCTGATAGCCATGCCGCGATCCCCGAACAGCCGAGTGGTGTCACTGTCCAGGGTGCTGTCAAGAGCACCCCGGGAACCGACCCTGCTCACGGTGAGGACCTGACCAGTGGGAGCCACGCCCTTCTTTGCCAACGAGGCAGAGTCTCTTTGCCTCGCGTCGCCACCGGCGCGACGCGTCTGGAGGACGTGCCTCCCGCCGAGGACCGCTCTCCGTTGGTAGGGGAATCCACCAGACTTCTGACCAGCTCCACGTCTGCCGACAATAGTTTCGCTGGGAGGCTCGCCGTTGATCCCCGACTCGCGAACGGCAAGAAGGCACGCGGGCATCTTTGTGAAGCGATCTCCCGTCTCGTCAAGCGCTGGAGGTCGGAGAGGCCGCGAAGCTGGTCACTTTTTTTTGCGAGAAAGAAAGACGGCGCCCTGCGTCTCATCTTCGATAGACGGGGCGCCAATACCTCGTTTGCCCCCCCCCCCCCCCCCCCCCCCCCCCCCCCCTTTGTGCACCTCTCTTGTTGCTGCTCAGGCGCTCAGCTCCATCGAGATTCCCATGGCTGGCTTGCACTGTGCTCATGGCGACGTCACCTGTTGCTTCTATCAGTTTCTGCTAGCTTGAGGAGTTAGTTCGGGCTTCCTCCTGTGCGTTGGTCCGACCTTCCCATCCGGATAAAGCACGCCCTGGGCCCGCCCCATCCCTCTGGGTTGGTCAGGTTCAGGCTCCGCGTTGAACCTATGGGCTGGTCGTGGGCGGTGTACTTCGCCCAGTCTGCAAGGAAGAGCCTCCTGGCCCCCGCCGTGCCCAGTGACCCCTTTTTTGGCTCAGCGCAGGCCCCTGGGCCCCCTGACCCAGGAAGGCGCCGTCAGTGCAATCTACGCTTGCAGCTGTGCGCCTCACGATGCAACAACTGACGATCTCAAACTTGTGGTGTATGTGATAGCTTGCTTTGCAGGCGCTCTGCGGTGAGCTTTCGGCCGAGCGCTCAAGGAATTGGTCGAGCGCTTCTACCCCACACGCAGTGAACAAAGGCCGGTCGCGACGCCGACGCGGAGAGCCCGCTGGGGCGCCTCGGGGCCCTCTAGGGCCCCCTCTGGACGTGAGGCGGAGGAGGAGGATCGCGCTGGCTTTGAAGGCGCTGGAGAGCCAGCGCGATCCTCCAGGCCAGCCTGAATTCTTAATCCTACAATTATTGAACCCTGAATCCTGCGAAACCGGCTACATACGGGAACATACGGGTACATGCGCACCGGCATCTAAACCCTTGCTATCCCTTGCAAAAAAGAAAAACATTATTTCCGGATCATGCGTGCAGAATCCATGGCGATCTACACTACAAATGCACCTCCGCGGACGTAAACCTTTGCTTTCCCTGACAAAAACAAATCATTTCCTGATCATGTGCGCAGAATTCATTGCGATTTACTCTACGAATGCACCTCCGCGGACGTAGACCATTGCTATTTCTTGCAAGCACTTTCATTTTCTGATCATGCCTTCATACACGTGCGAGAGTTTCCTTACCAAGTGCGCCGCTGTCACAGAATTATGCATTTTACAATGCGACTTCCATTTCAGGCGGTCTCAACGCTCCCAAGCGCTCCCAAGCGTTCCAGGCGCTTGGGGGCGCTCCCAGGCGCTCCCAAGCGCTTCCACTAGTTGTACTTACGACGAGGGGAGAGATGATCTTTATGGTAGGGTGGCTTGCGGGTGGGACTGGCAGCCACCGCAGGTGGGCTCCTAGGCAGGAGGGGATCAGCTGCGGCAGAGCTTGTAGACCCTAAACCCTCAACCCTGAACCCAAGATGTTGGGGCCAGCGCGAGGAGGAGGATCGCGCTGGCCCCAAAATCTTGGGGCTGCCCTGGAGGATCGCGCTGGCTTTGAAGGCGGTTCTCCAGGGTCGGGTTCGTCGGACTGGACGTCAGATGGTTCGTCTGGTTGGCCACGTTTCCGCTCTGTTCCAGCTCCGCCAGGAGCTGCTCCCTGTCTTCTCCTCGGCGCCCTATGCGTCTGGCATTCGGTTTCGGGGGCGGCCCGCCTGGGTTTGGGGCTCGGTTGGGCACGAATGCTGGCCTGCATGGGCGCTCCTCCCCACGGCCGCAGCTCGCTTGGACATCCCCTGGAGTCCCGAGGTGACCTCGGCGGACGCTTCGCTCCGCGGGTTCGGCGTCGCCGCGCGCCGGTGCAAGTCGACCAGCGTTGGCGAGATCGGGCGCGTCAGTGAACGTCGCCGTTTCCGCGGTGAGTTTCGCAAGTGCACTAAGCCGCAGGACGTGCTGGAGGACGCGGAGGTGCCGTTCTCCTTCCTGGCCTGGGGGTCGGACCGCGAGCTCCTGGAGGCTGGCGCCTTGACGGAGTTCCCCGAGATCCCCGAGTGGTTTGCTAAGGAGGCTCCCTGGCCAGTGTGTCATCGTTGCTGGGAGGTGCTGCTGTGGTTTTGTTTCAACACGTCGGACTTATGTTCTAAGAGCATTGTTATTGTTCTTAGAACATTTTTGGGTTCTAACAACATTCCGATCCATATCGCGGTAGGCCTATAGGAATGCCGGGACGGTCGGTCCCTGCTCAGAGGCGGAGGCGGAGGGCTGTGGGCTGCGCGACGCATCGGTCGTGATAGGCGTCTCATGGGACCGTCGTCATCTTATCCTCAGCGGTTCCATGGCCTGGGTGTGTGCCGCCACGACAGGAAGGGGAAGCCCTTGGTTCCTGTTGCGTCGGTGCCGAGCTGTGTGCGCTGGCCGTCGCCTCTGGGTGCCGTTTCGTGTATCGTTGGGTTCCGTCAGTGTGGAATAGTGCCGACGTTCCTAGCCGAAGGTATGACCCAATTTGTGAACATCGCGCAGAGCACCTCTACGACCGCAACCCTTTCTGGCTCGGCCTGCGCCGGGAACCGCCTTCCTTTTGGAGACCGCGGTGCCCGTCGGGGAGTGTCACCCCCTCCGGGCCTTCGGCGCCTCGCGGCTGCGGTCCCGTTCGCCTGCGGGCTGCCAGGGCGCTGGGGGGCTGCTGGCGGTGGCGCAGGTGGACGCGACCCAGCTTCCGACGTCAGCGGCCGCGAGCCCGACGCTGGAGGCCGCCCGCCCCCAGGAGGCTCGCCCCGCCAGCCCGCCCGAGGCACGCCGCTCCCCGAGGCCAGGGCAGGCGGGCGGGGCCCGGGCGCGGCAGGCTCGCGGGGTGGGCAGTGTCCGACGCCAGGAGGCGCGACGGGCGATGCGCCAGTCGTCCTCCCGGCGTGCCCGGGAGCCCGGCCCACGCGGCCGCTCGCCTGTCGGAGCTCGGCTTCGGGGCGACGGCGCGGGGAGCGGCGTGGGTGGCGCCGGCCACGCGGGCCAACTACCTGGAGCACCTGGAGCGAGTACCGTCTTGGGAGATGCTGCGGCGGACACAAGTGTTGGACATGGGGCGACTGGGGCGTGCTGCTGGCGAGCTACTTGGAGTACCTGTACGACGCGGGAGCGAACGACAACGCCGTTGGAGTGACGCGGGCTCAGCTGGCGGAGCCTGCCATCCCTTGACCCCTGTGCCGAGGCTCCCCCCTGGCCTCGACGGCCCTGGCGGGTTGGTGGCGGCCTTGGCCATCGCCCTGGACCTATGCGAGTGCGGCTTGCCGAGCCTGGGCTTCTTGGCGATGCTGGTCTTCGTGACGTACACGCATGCGGCCAAGCGAGGTCGTTGCACTCCAGCGTTTCCAGCTCGCCCCGCAGGTCGGAAGCTGCCATCCAGGGACAAGGGGTCATGGGGCGGTCCTGCGCCGGGCCCTGGAGCTCGGCAGGCTCGGCAAGACCGACGACTTCGACGGGGGCGTGAGCTGGGGGCGGTCTCCTGCGAGCGAAGAGAGCGGGGCCTGGTGGTCTTCTTCGACTACGTGACGCGCCTCAAACTCTGGCGGCCGCATGCAAGCGGTTCGGTCTCGACTACCCCCAGCTGGCGCCCTACTGCTTGAGGCGCGCAGGCGCGTCGGAGGATTGGGCGAGCTACTCCCGCCCAGTGCTGGAGGTGCTGAAGCGAGGAGGCTGGAAGACCTGCTCGAGCCGTGCAAGGCGCGCGAAGCATGCTCGGCTCGGGCTCATGCTGCTATGCGTGGGGCCAGCAGTGGTGGCGATGACCCAGCGGCGAGAGCCAGAGTTGACGAGGCTCTTTTTCGCAGCCTGATTGCGGCCCGACAGGATGCTACGATCGGTAACGGAATTTGTTTTCTCGACGTCTTCGCGGGAGCTGGTCCTGCGGGGCGGTTCTTGAGGGGCCAGGGGTACGGCGTCATTTCCTTCGAGGAGAAGCTAGGCCCTCGTCGCGACCTCAGACGTACACAGCTTTTTGTCATTGTGATGGGCTGGTTGAAGGCCAGCAGAGTGCGGGGCTTCTGGCTGGCGACACCTTGTGTGACCACCGCGAGACCTCGCCAGAACGGGGCCGCTGGAATGCCGCCCCCCCCTTCGGTCCAATGAACACTTTCGTGGGCTGCCGGAGCTGAGTGGGCGTCTGCAGGAACAAGTGCGGGAAGCTGACGCCCTGATCGACCGAGCGGGGCTGCTGCTGAAGACCGCCGAAGGACTGGGAGTGCCGCGTGGGAAGGATAATCCAACCCCTCGCTACTGTGGCTTTCTCCTGTGCGCCAGCGGCTGCTGGCCAAGTGGCCGCACCCCAGTGTTGACTACTGTTCCTGTGGCCTTCCTGCGCGCAAGCGAATTCGGCTCCTCTTGTTGAACGCTGGCAGTCCTGATGCAGCTAGATTTGCATGCTCTGGTCGGCGTGGCATATGCAAGTTCTCCGGCAAACCTCGCCTCGTCATTCGCGGCAAGATGCACGGAGCTCGGTTTTCCAAGCTAGCAGAACCCGATCCCCCCATCGTTGAGTTTATTGCAAGAAGTTTTCATCATTCAGTTCTTCTATTGACAGTGGCACAGTTGCCTATAATCTCATGTGCCAGATCACCTGTGGCTCTTGGCCGTGGGAATGGTTTGAAGTTCGGCGCCTCCGCGCCAGGTGGTGACGTGTCTCGGCAAGCTGCCAACAAATTGGCGCCGTCATCATGGAAATGAACGCATGAGAATGCATTGTCCGTGGCCGCTTTTTCTAAAGAAACCTTCGGCCGCCCTTTGCACGCCACGCCCGAGTGCAGCAGAACAAGTTCGTTAAGCAAAGGGGTTTGAAATCCGGCGCCTCCGCGCCATGTGGTGATGTGTCTCGGCAAGCTGCCTTGTGCAAAAAATGGCGCCGTCATCAAAAATATTCACCTAACTGTAGTCGTCGTGTTCCTGCCTCCTCTCTCTTACTTTTCCCCCTCACTCCCCCTGCTCCCTTCTCCTCCTTCTCCTTCTCATGCTCCTCGTTACCCTTACTTCTTTCAAAGTCCGCTTCGACTCAGTAGCGCCTTTGCCCCAGCACCGCGCAAGGATTTTTGGAGAGTTCTGCTTCCGCCTGTGCGCGGCACCTGGCTTCCCGCGGGATGTCGTCGGAAACGGTGCCGCGCAAGCGAACTCCCGATCGCTAGGTGGGAGTGACTACGCGCCAGACTCTAAATCCGGTTGTGGAGGGCGGGTGGGGATAGGCGGGGACAACTGAATCGCTCGAGCTGGTTAGCTTGATACTCATACACTCCCGCTCTCACATTTCGACTTTTTTTCCGTTTTTCATCCGTACAAAGTCATCATGTTCCACACCTGCATTCACACGCACACTCACGTTCACACTTTGACCCGAGCTCGATCTGTATCGCTCACGGTGCCGTTTGCGCTCACTCAGATTTCAAATTCGCTCTTTTTTCAGAGAGCGCCACGACTAACAACTTATAAGTGCCAAGAGCAGAATTCAGACCTCCCACGCGGTGTAAGAAACCAGCGTGCAAGCCGTCACGGCACGACCCTGCCGCACTGACTGTCCATCAGGGCGGCGCTCATTGGTGTAAGGCTTTGGGTTGCGCACAGACAGACCCCTCAGGCAGTCCCGGCTGCTCTCACCAGGTCCCCCGAGTATTCCGGGGCGGTCTCAACACCCTGGCGCCGCCTCTGGCGGCGCCAGTGGGGCCCACCCCAGGGTTGGGGTATTGAGACCGCCATGGGCTACTCGGGGGGCCTGTTGAGGCCAGCTGGGACCACCTGGGGGGCTGCCTGCGTGCAGCCCGAAGCCCAACCAGCCGCGCTGAGGATGCCGAGGGGCGCCCTACACCGTCGTCGTCGAGTTCGACTTCCCCGCCGGCCGGGGGCCCGACGGCGTCTACCACGACGGTCGGAGACCCATGGGCTACCTGCCCGCCAACACGGAGGCGCGCCAGGGGCGAGCTTTTGGGGGTCCTCTCGGGGACCCCGGGCCTCCTCGCTGCACCCTTCCCCTCCCCCTTTCATGCGATGCCTCGACTAGACGTAAGAGTGACCTTTCGCCGGAGGGACCTTTGGTGCGGGCACAGATGGGCCCTCAGATGGCTGAAAACGAGGCGGTAGCAGCGGCTTGCGCGCCCAGGTTTGGTCTCCCCGCGGCCCCCAAAAAGCCGCGCACCAAAGGTCACTCTTACCCAGGGGCGAGCCTGGGGGTCCCCTCGGGGATCCTGGGCCTCCTCGCTGCCCCCTCCCCCTCCCACTCCCATGTCGGGGGCGGAAAAGAGGGGGGTGATGACTAGGGGGGGATGGATATCATGGCGGGTGCCATGATATTTTCCCAGATGACCATGCGATCCCAGACATCCTCGCGACCTGGCGTCCTTTGCGGACGCTCTCGGTGGCGCGTGTAGGCTCTGTGACCTCGGCGTGTTTCTTCCAGCAGCGGCGCCTCATCGAGGAGTGTTCTCGGGGTGCCGGAATCGTCCCAAACGGTGGTCAGAGACTTGAGTTACCACTCGACAGCCCGACGTCCTCGCGTCGTCAAAACATCACGACGGATACTATGTGGAAGTTTTCGGCTCCTGAGCGCCATCATTGGGGCCCCAGTACTGTCAACAACAACAGCTGGGGATGGAACGCCGGTCCCAGGGGGGGTCGGTACGATGCCAGTTCCCAGACCATCTAAATCGTAGGGTGGGGCGGAGGGAGGCGGTAATACCAAGCTGCTTCGTTTATGTGTAAACGGCGCCAGCGAAGCGATGTCGCGCTTTCTACAGGAGGAATGAGGTGGAGGATGAGGGAGGTCGACAGGAATGGAACATTGTGAAGATGAATCTGGGGAGAAGGAGTATAATGACGATCGCAAAAATGAAGACAACGAAGAGTTACAAACATAAGGGGTGTACACGATGTGACTGGAAGGGGAAGGGGATGAGACAGGCGAGGTTGAGGGAATCTCTGGAAATTTGGGGGGCAAGGAAGGAACACGATTGAGTCCGAAGGCTTCCGAAGGTATCCGGAAGCAAGCGACAGTTGGCGAAGGCCGGCGAAGACACGAAGCCTGGCGCGAAAGCCTGAGCCAGAAAGAGCCACTGGAACTGGAACCTTTCCGGGGCCTTCAGAGGTCCCCGGAGGCCAGAGGCCTCTGGAGGTGCAAAGAGACCTCCGGAGCAGGCCGAACAGCAACCGATGACTCCGGTTGCGAGGGCCTGGCGGCCGAAGCCGCCGACCCTGAAGAGGACCACGACGTCGGCGACGAAGCGGGCGGAGTCGGAGGCCGTGGAAGATGAGGAGGAGGAGGAGGCGAGGCGGAGGGGGAGGGGAAGTAGGAGGAGGAGGAGGAGGAGGAGGAGGAGGGGGAGGAGGAGGAGGGAGGAGGAGAGGAAGAGAAGAAGGAGGGAGGAGAGAGGAGGAGGAGGAGGAGGAGGAGGAGGAGGAGGAGGGGGAGGAGGAGGAGGAGGAGGAGGAGGAGGAGGAGGTCCAGAAAGACCTCGACCTCGACCTGGTCGCGGCGGGGGGCGCTGGGCGGACCGGCCCGTCCCACCCCCCACGCGCCGGCAGCGGAGGGCCTCCTCCTGCTGGAGCTCTTCAAGCTCGCGTTCCGGAGGCGCGTGATGTTCGGGATGGGCCAGTCGCTGACGAAAGGAACCCCCCCCTCTCGACTAGACGTAAGAGTGACCTTTCGCCGGAGGGACCTTTGGTGCGGGCACAGATGGGCCCTCAGATGGCTGAAAACGAGGCGGTAGCAGCGGCTTGCGCGCCCAGGTTTGGTCTCCCCGCGGCCCCCAAAAAGCCGCGCACCAAAAGTCACTCTTACCCAGGGTCACTCTTGCGTGTAGCCGACCCTCTCCGGCTCCCCATCGCTCCTCGCGTCGTGAAAGATGACCCTGGCGAAGGTACGTGCCCTCTGCTGACGCGTGGCGCGACTGTGTGCCAGGACCGCCAGATGCGCATAGACATGCTGACGGGGTGCGCCGAAAATGGGGCGGGGCCGCATGGGGTGCGCCGAATTGGGGCGGGGCCGCATGCGACCGCAGCCACTGAGGGCCTTGGCTGGAGCTCCCAATCGGGCCACGACAGGTATGAGGGATGCGCCGAGATGGGGCGAAGCCAGATGCGACCGCAGCAACTGTGGCCTTCGCTGGAGCTCCCTATCAGACAGGGGCGACAGCTTGGTTCCAGGATGGCTCCGACGCCATGAATTTACAAGTCTCCTGCTTGGTTCCAGTTTGGTTCCAGTTTGGTTCCAAGATGGCTCCGTTGTTGCAGGTCAGCTGCAGGAGGCCATGCTGCACGAGGCTTATGCCTTGGACGCGGGAGAAGTTCGCCAATTCCTCGGTACGCACCGTCACGAGCGAGCGCCCTGTGGGTTGCGCCGCTCATTACTTCCCGACGAAGATAGAATGGTTCTTTCTGGGTCGGCTTACCATGCTAGGTCCGACTCTTCATTCTGGCGTTGCCGAGGAGGATGTTGGTGACGAGAAGGAAGAGGATGAGGAGGAGGAGCAGGAGGACGAGGAGGAGGAGGAAGAAGAGGAAGAAGGCCGTGACATGCGTCACCTGTTCGTCTTCGCTATCTTATGGAACTCGTTTGGGACGTTGTGGGGCTGTCTGGGCCTCCTGCGAGGCATTCTTGGGGATCCCTTGGGACTCTCTTTGGCCGTCTTGGGGCCCTGTTTGCCGTACGGGTGGGTGGGGGCGTTGTGGGGCCGTCTTAGGCTTAAGTCGGGCCTGTCCCTCTACAGGGGGAATATTCAAAAATAGTCAAAACATACTCTGGGGACTATGTTTTGACAATTTTTGAGCATTTTTGGGGTATTTGTTGAAGGTATTCTTAATTGCTCGTCCAACATCGGCCTGTAGGGGGACAGGCCCGACTTAATCTTAGGCAGGCGAAAGGCCTTTTGTTTTGGGTTCCACGGAAGGCCCACTTGGGCACTCTTGGGGCCGTCTTCGATGCCTCCTGGGGCATCGTGGGGCCTCCTGAGCCATGTTGGGACCTTGTTGGGAGCAGCTTGGGCCGTCTTGGGGCCATCGTGGAGGCTTTTTGGGCAGACGGAGGCCCGAAAAGGCGAGAAGACGGACACTATTCAGAAACAGATGGAAATCAATGATTCTGGCTTCTACGGGCCCTGCTGGGGGTCCTCCTTCGGCCCTTTTCAGCCCGCTTGGAGGTATCTTGGGCCGTCCTGAGGCAATTTTGGGCCGCCTCGGGACCATTTTGGGCAGTCTTCTAGACGTGTTGGGCCATCTTGGTGTCCTTGGTTGCTTGCCCGGGCCGTCTTGGAAGCTCAGGACGCGTACACGCCCGTCGTTGAAAGTGGGTATTTTTGGATATCTTAGATCCCAATATACTTCAAGCGCCTTCCTATTTCAAGAATCGACATGCTGTTGCTGTGTTTTGCTATTCTCTGGGGGGACCTGGACCCAATCCACTATATCCGCCTTCTACTTCATGGTTCTACCTACTTCTTCCGACCGACGTGAACCTTTTTGCTTTTACAAGGGGTCGTGGTCTCGGGAGCGCAGAACTACTTTTGCATCGAAGGCATCTTGGCCTCGGGAAGGGGAGGCGATGCAGGCGAGTAGGGAGGGGGGTCCTCTTTTAGGATCTAGAAGCCCTTCCAGACAGCCCCTGGCATCCTTCCACGCCTCAGCGTGCACGAGGCACGGAAGCCCTGCCAGGCATCCCCTGATATTCTTCCACGCCCTGACGTGCACGAGGCACGGTGGCGGATAAGGCACATGGAGGAGGATGAGGAGGAGGAGGAGGAGGAGGAGGAGGAGGAGGACGAGGACGAGGACGAGGAGGAGGAGGAGGACCAGTGTAAACCCAAGACTCATCAACGATGTCGGATTGAACCCTCCCTCCAAGCTCCCCGTTTTATAGGTCCCTACAACGTTTCATTTCCACGGAAGGAACCGCCTCGTGTGAAGACAATCGTTTGAATACCCTGAAGCATGCCAAAACATTGCTCTCGGAATTCCCAAGCCACGGATTAATTAGACTGTTACTTCTTGACGACCCTGAATCGTGCCAGAACGCCATTCCTGGGACCTCAACTCCGCGAATCAGTGTAACTGTTGCACCCGCATAATCCAGAATCGCTTCAAAGCACCATTTCTGGTATGCTGACCATGGGATCCCGTGACACTTTTGCAAATGTTAAGAACGAATGTGCGCGGCGCCAATGCGAGAGCCACATTCTGAAAAACGGGTCGTCCTCAATTCGTAAAATGATTGCACAATTTAAGAACGAATGTGAGCGGCGCTGAGACGAGAGCTACATTCTGAAAACGGGTCGCCCTTACTCCGTGAAATTCTTATATTTATTGTTTGCAAAAACGATTGTGCGCCTTGCTAAGGCGTGCATGTTCAAAACCACCCACCCTCCATCTGTGAATATGCTGCCATGTTTGATGCTTCAGGGTCATACATGGCGAGGAAGTCTCAGGCGAAACGCCCGGCCCGCCCTAAAAACTGGCCTCGGGGCGCGACATGGAGAAGTTATTTATAAAGCAGAGGAGGAGGAGGAGGAGGAGGAGGAGGAGGAGGAGGAGGAGGAGTCAGCAGGAGGATTTGGAATTTTGACCCCCTCCTTCCCCCCTTCCCCTCCCCTCCCCCACTTTCTCCACTACCTCCACTTTCTCCCCCTTTAGTTGTTTCTCCGCGTCGTCTTCACGTCCCCATCCCCTCCTGCTCCTACTCCCCCTGCGCAGCACCTTGGATCGGAAATCCGCTGGTCACAACGACGATTGCGAACAAATGCATGGTAGAGGATAGGGAGCGAGAAAAGTGAAAGAGGTTTCAAGAGAGAAGGGCGAATGAAAGGTCGTGCCTCTTCCTTGCGACCTCCTCCTCCCCTCCCGTTTATACCTCTCTGCTCTTGCCCCTGTGCCCGCTGGCGCCGCTGCCGCCGAGCCCCCCCCGAGGAAACCGCCGGCCGACAAACAACGTGCACATCAAGACGAGCAGGCGCCGCTCAAACATGGGGGCGGAGCGCCGTCTGGAGAACACCGTCGTCGCCGCCGCCGTCGTGGTCGCGCGCGAAAATGCCCGCGTGGGCAGGAGGGTAAAGTTGAGGAGAAGAGGGAGGATGCAGGAGGAAGGGGAGGGTGAGGAGGAGGAGCAGGAGGAAGAGAAGAAGGAGGAGGAAAAGGAAAAGGAAAAGGAAAAGGAAAAGGAAAAGGAAAAGGAAAAGGAAAAGGAGCAGGAGGAACAGGAAAAGGAGTAGTACGAGGAGGAGGAGGAGGAGGAGGAGGAGGAGGAGGAGGAGGAGGAGGAGGAGGGAGATTTGCGCCTCATGCGGCGGAGGCGTTGGAGCCAGCGGCTGGCTCCACTACTGCGAGCCCTGCAGCGCGCTCTTCTGCCGCCCTTGCGCCGCGGCCGCCGCCGACGCTGCGGCCGCCATCGCCGCCGCGGCGTCGCCCGCCGAGGGCGCGGCGCCTGCTGTCGCCGAGACTGCGGTCGCCGCGCTGGCGCCGCCCGCCGCAGACGTTGCGCCTGCTGCGCCGCCCGCCAGGGGCGCCGCGCCCGCGGCCGCCGCGGCGCTTGGGTGAGCGCGCCCCGCGCCGGCTGCAACGGCGCATCCGCTTCGCGAGTTGACGGGTTTTTTTCGCCCTGCGAGGCCTTTCGCAGGGTCGGGCGGCCTCGACCTGCAGGAGGACTTCGCGCTGGATTGCCCTGCGCTGCGGGCCGTCCCGCGGCACGCTCGGGCAGCGGCTGGGCAGGCCACCGAGGAGCTCTGCAAGGCAATCCTCCGTGCCCTGGCCTGGAGCGTGGAGGAGGGGCGCGTTTGGAAACTGTCCGTCCTGCGGGAACACCTGCTCGCGCTGGCTGGGCGCGAGGGGCCTGCAGCGCGCGGCGGCGGCGGCGGAGATTCTGGACCACACGCAGCTGGTGCGCGAGCGCTGCTCCGCGTTGCTCCGCGTTGCTCCGCGGCGACTGGGCAACCCTCCTAGGGGCGGCCTGGAGCACGGCCTGGGCCAAGGCGCGCCGGCAGGCGGGCGGTGGGGGAGGCCGCGAGGAGCGCTCCCTGGCGGACGACGTCATTTTAAAGGAGATGGCGGAAGAGTGTTCCCGAGCCGCCGCCCTGCTGGGCAGCCCAGGACTTGCGCCGCTCACGCCCACACGGCTGACCAGCTGCAGGCGCTGCTCCAGCAGCCGCGCCCTGTTGCCGCGCTGCCCTTCGGCGGCTAGCGGCGGCGCCGCTGCCCAGGCCTTCGCCGTTCCCTCGAGCCTTGCAGAAACCGCTGCAGGCAAGCCCTCGGGGCAGCGGCGCGGCAGCTGCTGGCGGGCCGTTCTTGCCCAGCAGCTAGCAGCCCTGGCGGCCTTTTGCCACGTCTGCGAGAGGGCAAGGTCCCAGAAAGCGCCGCCGCGGCCCTGGCGCCAGCGAAACCCACGCCGCTGCGACAACCAGGCGGCGGAGTCCGGCCCATTGTCGCGCCGAACATTCGCGGCGGCTGGCGGGCCGCGCGCTGGCCTTGGCCGAGGCGCTTGGGAGACAGCAGTCTGCCGTGGGCACTGCTGCGGGCACCGAGCTGCTGACTCGCACTGCGCGGGCTCTGGCAGAGGCCGACCCGACTTGGTGTCTGTTGCGCTGGACGCTAAGAGCGCCCACTGTTCTGCCAGCTGCGAGGCCTTCATCCGCGGCCTGGATGAGGTTGCGCCAGAGCTGCTGCCTTGCGCGGACCTGCCCTGCCGCGCGGAGTCTCTTCATGGGGCGCGGACGGTGTCTGCCACCGCCTGCGCCCCACGAGCGGGGTAGACCAGGGGGGCCCGCTGAAGCCGCTGCTATCGTTGCCTGCAGCCCCATCTGCCAGCTCTCGACGGCGCTCTGCGGGGGGGCGGCCCAGCGTCGGGAGCTCAACTCAGACGACGATGTGCGCGTCCTCGCCCACCTGGATGATGTCGTCGCGCTGGCCCCCTCGGCATTGGCGGGCGGGGTCCAGGCGACGGCGCAGAGGGCGCTTCGCGATTTAGGCTAAGCTGGAGCTCCCACTGACGCAGGCCTGGTCTGCCAGGGCCGCCTGCCCTCCTGAGCTGAGCAGCGGCGGTGGGAGCGCCCTTTGGTGCCAACGGCCTCGCCGCGCCCACTGGCTGCGCAAACGGCCAGGCTTCTGCTCCGGCATTGCGGCGACAGCAATCCGAAGCACCTGCTGCGCGCGAGCGCGCTGGCAGCTTCGGAGGCCGACGCCCAGGGCCTACGATGACGCCCTACCCGTGGCCAGCAAGGCGCGCGCGCCCCGACCCGCCGACGGAGGCGCAGCAGGCGCAGTGCCGGCTGCCGATGCGGCTAGGCGGACGCGGCCTCCGCGACCAGAGGCAGCTGGCGTTGGCGGCCTCGGCCGGCTCCTTGGCGCAGAGCTTGCGCGGGGTGCGGGGGCGCGCTGGGTTGGCTTGCCTGTGCGACCTCGACACCTGCGCCCTGCTCCTAGCTGGAGCCGCCCTCGCCGAAGTGTCCCAACTGCAGCCGCCTCACCCTGGAGCGGACGCGGCCGAACTGCCCGCGTGGCGGAAACTGGCGCTGGCGCCTCGTTTAAAGGTTCCGAATTCTTGGACAGCAAAACAAGGCAATATTAAATCTATGGATTGATCACTTTAGTGATCAATCAAACAACCACTGTAATCCAAAGTGTTGTGACCGGTTTCATTGATCACAGCAAATACTTCGCGTAGAGTGATCTCAACCGAAACTTTCGGCGCCTGTTTTCCGGGAGTACTATGCGCCGTGAGTCGGTGGTGGTTGTATTAGGGTGTGACGATGCATAATGAGACGCTGTAACTTGGTGGTTGCTGTATACTACTGTGCTACATTATGTTCGCTTGGGTTCTTCCCCGGTGTAAGAAATTTCAATGTGTGTTGATCTGTTGTGGACAGGCCAGCGTGGCGTCGTGACGCCTGCCACGTTGGATCTGTCGTCGAATCGGTCGCTGCTGCTACTGGTTGTCTCTGTGGCCAGCGTGGGTTCGGCGCGCATGTCGCGTATGATAGGATGGCATTCTTTTGTCGATGCTGTATTAACTGTGTGACATGATGTTCGTATTTGTTTTGCTGTGTACACATGTTTGTTCCTCTGCTGTGATCTCGACGGTGCGGCGTGACGTCGTGACGCCTGTCACTTTTGATATGTCATCTAATCGGTCGGCGTTGCGCCTTTTTTGCTTGATGGCCAGCCTTACGTGGGCGTGGACGCTGCGTTTGACAGGGCGCCATGTATCGGTCGTTGTTATAGCTTTCGGTATCGAATTCTGTTGTATTCACTCATGTTTAAATATCGTATATGCTGTATTATGTTTTGTTGTGTTCTCGACGGGCCGGCGTGACGCCGCGACGCTTGTCACATTAAGTTCGTCGCCCATTCGGTCGCTGTTGCGCTTGTTCGATCTTGCGGCCAGTCTGGTTTCGGCGCGCACGACGCGTCTGGTTACCCGAAAGTGCGGCCGTGTATGGTATGATGTCGTCCATCCGTGGCGATTCATTGCGTCATTCCCAATTTCGTTATGTAACGTCAACGCTGCCATCCGACGAACTATAATTGCATGTAGTGTTCTGATGATATGCCCTGTTTGGTTTTCCCTTTTCGACCAAGTATGTTCGTCATGGTATGATATGATTAGTTCAGACTCTGACACACCGACTCAACTTGTCATGCCATATGATGAAATGTCACTTCCGTTGTCGTCGTATATGCCGCCGTATCACAACCATGTTGTGTTGTATTGGTTACGGTGTGCCTTATTTTTCGTTGTCATATTTCGTTATGTCAGACGCGGACATAATACCCGTATGCAATAAGTACTCGTATACGACGGTGTAATACAATCGCTGTTGCCGTCTTGAAACAACAGTGCGAACATGGTTGTATGGTATGTTATGAGGTGTTGTGCTGCATGTTCGTGTCGTGTCGGCAAATGTGCCTCCAACGTCAGCACACAGCCTCCGTGTACTCTGTAGCGTCACAGATGTAGCCGTTCTTGCTCGGAGGGGAGGGGTCGACTGTCGGCCTGGGGGCTGCGCTGGCCCTCGGGACTGATGCCCCCTGCGAAGCGCCCGCGGATCGTGGGTGGCGCCTCGGATGGTGCCGCCGATGGGACGGCCCGAGGCTCCGCGAGTACCGTCTGAGAGGCAGATAGACCAGGGAAGTGCAAGTCGGCGACGCGCCAAGGGGGAAGTGAGAGGGGGCAGGCCCTCTCAGAAGGCGGCGGGGATTAGCAGAAGTCCTCCGGCCTTCTGAGAAATCGTCTCTGGCTTCGGGGAAGGCCTCGAACGCTTATCAAAAGGTCGGACGCCGTCCGAGCCTTCCGAGAAGGCCCACCCCCTTTGCTTTCCCTCTGGGCGTACCGCCGAGAAATGCCTGAAGGGTAGATTCGCGATGGTAAGTTGGCAAGCACACCAGTATGTATGTATGTATGTATGTATGTATGTATGTATGTATGTATGTATGTATGTATGTATGTATGTATGTATGTATGTATGTATGAACGTACGTATGTATGTATGTATGTATGTATGTATGTATGTATGTATGTATGTATGTATGTATGTATGTTTGTATGTATGTATGTATGTATGTATGGGTGGATGGGTGGATGGATGGATGGATGGATGGATGGATGTAAATGTATACAGAGAGAGCTGTCTTGCACATGCCGCGGGGGATTGATACTTGGATGGTGTGAGACATATTTACTGCGAAGCAGTATGTCTTGCCCAGATCTTCTCAGGAGTATGCACCTCCAGGAAATCATGTTTCCTAGTATCTCTGCCTTTCATCGTGGAGAGCGCTCAGGAGCGCGAGCTTGAATTGACGGCGGAAGGCTTCGAGACGGGCGTCGACTACGCCAGCCCAGTGAGATACTCGGAGAAGCCAACGTCGCCGTGCAAACGCCTTGATGTCGCCTCGATCTCTCCTGCATGCTTTCTTGATGCGTCCTAGTTGAGAGAGCCCCAGGATGCTCACTGGCGCGACAACTTCACACTTCGTTCCAGGAAACGTCTGGGACGTCAGATGGCCGACCCTGGAAACCCTTAGTCCAAACACGTTGACTCGGCGGCGCGCCCGGGGGGTACAGTCGGGGCCCTGAAGAAGGAACCCTTTCCGTTGGGGAGGGGCTCCGTGTTCCTTAATTGTTTCGCAGCTTGCCTTAGGCTGTCTTTAGGCTTTCGATGTGAAATCGAAGATAAACTCATGGAAGATAGTGGCCTCGTTTCTTAGGTTTCCTTGGGTCAACGCCCCGACTGTAAGTGAGAAGGAGCAGGCCTTCTCAGAAGGCGGCGGGGCTTCTCAGAGGCCCTGGCCTTTCCGAGAAGTCGTCCGCATCTTCGGTGAAGGTTTCGACAGCTTTTCAGGAGGCCCGAGGCCGTCCAAGCCTTCTGAGAAGGGCCGCCCCCCTCCCACTTTCCCCCCTCGCTTGCCTCTGGTTGACGCCTCGCCTTCGTTTCCGCCGGCCCCCCGCAGGCTTCCGCTGCCAGATCCGCCGCCGTCTTGCCTCCGCAGCCCGTGCGCTGGCCTCAGCCGAGGGGCGAGGCGCACCGAGAGAGCGAGGGAGGCTCTTGTCCTGGAGCGCGCGCGGACACGTTTGCTTCGCGCGTGGCGCCGCTGGCTCGGGCCCACCACGTTTTGGCGCGACGCGCCAATTCGGCTACGCGTGAGAGTGACCCTTCGCCAGAGTGACCTGTGGTGCGGGACCAGGGTCCCTCCAGCACCGGCTGGTGCGCCTGGATGTGGCCCCATCGCGGCCCCCCTGAAGCTGCGCTTCCGAGGTCACCCTTGCCGAGTGTCCATCCGGCGAGTGTAGCCGACTATATAACCCCTCCCCAGTCACCAGAGCGTTAACGTCCCGAGTCTTGAGCCGAGCGACGCACTATCCGCTCGCAGGGCATAAGGTGTCGCCGGGGCCGCCGCCGCGACACGCCAAGCAACAGTTCCCGACCGTAGCAACTTTGGCATCTCCGATATACGTCGTGCTTTCCCAGACTGGGCTGGTGCTGCGCGGGGCCTGCGCGTTGGACTCGAGGCAGGCTGGCCGCGTGGACTGCGGCGCAGAGGTCTTCGTGATCAGGCGGCAATTCGAGCCCAGCCGCACGCGAGGGAACCGCCTGATGTCGGGAGCGCCGAAGAGAGGGGGGTGAGGACCAGGGTAGTATGGAGTTGGAGCTGGCTGGGGGGCTGAGGTGGCCAGGAACCACGGCTGGACGCGGCTCGAACAAAATCATCAGCTTCGACCCCAGGAGGGCTACCAGTACCGACGCGGCCCTGGACAGAACCCCCTCACCGCGACACGTCGATGTGTGAATTATCCGTTTTCGGTTCTCGAGAGGCGGCTGCGGCCATCATTTTCCAGGCTTACTATTATTGTTATTGTGTTTAGTCTCACTAGTATGATTAGTATTAGTTTTCCCGGTGATGACTCATTAGTAGTATTCCCTCTCATTCTTCTTATCATTATTCTTATTCTTCTTCTTTCTCTTCTTCTTTCGATTCGTTTCACTATTCCCTCTTGTTTCTTCGTCTTCGTCGTCGTCTTCTTCTTCTTCCAGCACGCCTACTGGCTTCCCCTCGCACGCTCCGATCGCCCGCCCTGGGCCATGCTGCGCTGACCTGCTTCTTCCTGGCCCCCGCCGGCAGCCCTCCCGCCCGGGCCGGACCTCATCAGCATCGACCCCCCGGAGAGCCCAGGCCCCTCCCGGGGTCCGCCCCGACCCACCACGTCGCACGGCGGATCCAGCCGCGGCGGCGAGGAGCCTCCAGGGCTCCCGCGGAGGGCGCACGACGCCGATGATTCAGAGGAGGAGGGGGTGCCCATGCCGCTACCATTCCCTCGTTTCCGCCGCTTGGGGCCTCCCGGGAGGCCCTCGTGGCCACCGCTGGATTCGCCTCGACGTCCTGGTCAGAGCGCACCCTGGGGGAGGCCCAGGGAGTAGCAGCACTGGTGCCTTTTGGCTTCCCCACTGGCGAGAGACGCCAGGGCGGCTCAGGGCCCCCTCTTCGGCGCGCCCGATGGTGCGGGTGGAGATCTCCTCGCCGTGCGCCGGGTGGGCGAGCGAACTACCAGGAGACTGTTTTTTGTAGGGTCTGGCGATACATTCGGGCTGTGGGGCCCGTCCGCCCCCTCCCTCCCGGACAACCTGGCCCCGTCGGTGGCGCAGGTCCGACGGCGGGCTGAGCAGAACCAGTGCGCGCGGGCATACGTGGGGCTGCCCGGAGGGAAGCCCCCTCCTCCTCCCCCTCCTTAGCTGCTACCTCCTCCTCCTTCTGCTCTTTCCCCTCCCTTCTCCTCCTCCTCCTCCTCCTCCTCCTCCTCCTCCTCCTCCTCCTCTTCCTCCTCCTCCTCCTCCTCGCAGTCCTAGTCCGTCTCGTCGTCATCACCGTCCTCATCCTGCTCCCTCCTGCCTTCGGGCGGGGGGTGCACCGTCAAGGTTGGGCCATCGGCCGGCACCCCCGCACCACCCCGCCGGAGGAGGAGGAGGAGGAGGAGGAGGAGGAGGAGGAGGAGGAGGAGGAGGAGGAGGAGGAGGCCATCACCGACAGAGAAAGCAGCTCCATCTCCAGCGTTCCTCGCCCTGGCGCCCGGCCAGGCCGCCCCCGCGCTCTGCGGTGCCGCGACACACGCGGAGCTGCTGCGGAGGGAGGCGGCCGCCTTCAACGAGAGGGGGGAAGACCTGCGGTGCTCGGGGGCAGCGCGAGTTGGAGATAGGCCCGGGGAGGTTCTGTTTTTTTGTTAATACCTTGGCGCGTGATGGTCGTTGCCCAGGCAAGCCACCTCCCGGGCCCCCCCCCCTTTCCCTCCCCGTGTAACAGTAACGATCGTACGTGCGGGGGGGCGGGCTTGGACATCCTCCCAGGATGGTCGGGGGCATAACGATGGGGGGGGGATAGGCATAAGGGGGAGATGCCTCGACACGCAACCGCCCACTGATCGCCGGCCAGGGGCCCGATAGCCCCAGCCTGCACAGGAAGGGTGCGGATTCACCATCGGGGGCCTGTCGCCGATCTATCGGCGATGCATCGCCGATTCCCGGTGGATTCATCCCCCCCCATGCCTAGCCGCGCCTAGCCCCCCTAGTCGTTGCCCCTCCCATGAGGATGCTCGCGCGCATGCTCCGGCGAGCGCAGCGCACCCCCCGCCCCGGCGCGCCCTGCCCTGCCCGCGCGTTGCCGCTCCCTGGGGGGCCAGACCCCTCCCCCCCTTGGGTGACGACTGTTGCAGGACATGCTATGTAATAAGAACAATAGTGATAACAATACTAATATAGTAATAATAGTCATAATAATAGTAATGCAATAATACTAATACTATTACGACGACTACTACGAAAATGATTAGGATCGTAGCAATAGCAAGATTCACGATAGAAACTACTAAGGGCACTGATAATAACACTAGTTTTTATTTGGCTAACAATGGCGCAATCTCGGGGGGGGGGAACGTTTCGGTTTCGTGGTTCGAGATGGTCTGGCGTTTTCGTTGGTTCTCGGCGGCTTTCCAGCCTCGGGGTGCTTTCCAGCAGCTGCGCCTCGTTCTGGGGAGCCCAGAACATCCCGAACGGCCGCCAGAGAGCCGAGCTACGACCCGAAAGCCACGGGGCAACGTCAGGGATAGGCGCAGGAGGGATGCATTGATGCCCAACCGCCGATGGGGGCCCGATAGCCCGCCCCGCCCAGGAACGCTCGCCTTCGCTATCGGGGGCCTATCGCCGATCTATCGGCGATCTATCGCCCATTCCAGCTCGATGTTTCCCCTCCCCACCAAGTCGGTCCTCTAACGTTGCCCCTCAGGTGCCTCTTGGACCGAGACTGCCAGGACGTCGTGGCCCTCCGGAGCGGCCTCGAAGTCGCACGTCTGAGGATCGGGGATCTCCAAACGGTGCGGTGGCCGCACCGTGTGGTGAGCCAGCGGTGAATCGGGGTGACCGCACAGTTCTGGGACCCGGGTCGGTCTCCGAGGATGTCTCGGGCGACGGGGGCCTCCGAGGTGCCAGAACCGTGCGGTGGCGGACCGTGCGGTGAGGTGCATGGGGAGTCCGAGCCCGCCGCGCGGCCCGTCACCGCATCGTTTCGGCACCCCCCGAGAGGAGCGAGCTGGAGGCCGTGGAGCGAGAGCACGCCTTCCTCGACAAGACCGCAGTCCTCTCGGCCACCCAGGACGTCGCCAGAAAAGCGAGCGCGGGCCCCGAGGGCGGCGGGGCCCCGAGGCTCCTCGCCGTGCTTGGCAGCCCTGCCCCCCGCTGCTTCCCGCCGTCGGTCTCGTCGGCTCGGCGTCGTCCTCTCGGCGCCATCGTCTCCTGCCCACACTTCGTCCCTGCCCCCACTCCTCCTCGCCGTCGCGCAAGAGAGCACGCCCGGAGGTGCTCGGCGGCCTCCGGCCTCCGGGGGGCCTCGCTGGGCACCGGGGCCGTCAGTGAAGCGAACCGGGAGGTATAACACCGGTCCCGGGGAAGAGGGCCAGACCTCGTGGGGGGGTCGACGTGGCGCCAAGATCACGACGTCGGAGCTCGGGGTGGGCCCTGGGGCCCCGGGGCTGCCCCAGAGCCGGCTCGGGATGGCAGCTGGCCCTGGGGGCAGGGGAGCCACAACTGGGGGAGCTGTGGTCCTTACCCCCCTGGGGGACCCATCGATTTCGACACCCCTCTCGAGAGATCGTCGATGCGATGGGCTCCCCAGGGGGGTATAAGGACCACAGCTCCCCCAGCTACGTCTGGTCGGTGGGGGGGGAAGCGCCCTGTCGTCCAGGACCCGGGGCCCCCGAGGGCCCCGCTTCCTGCGTGCCAGCAGGAGGCGGCCAGCACCCGCGGCTGGGGCTCCATCCCGCTGCGCTCCATCGGGGGTGCCATGGGGGACGCCGGCAGCACCAACACGGGCGTCCAGACGGGCGGAGAGTACGCCGACACGCCGTTGATGGAGAAGTTCTGCCCCTACATCCGGCAGATCGTGCGGGAGATCTAGGGGAGCGAAAAATTACACAAACATAACAACTCGGAGGTCCGCGCGGATTTCTCGGATCGGCGCTGGGGCCTCCTGGCGGCGCCTCCGGCGCCGCCCCTGGCGCGCTTCGCGCGGCAGGGAGGGGGGTCCAGCGCCGATCTCAGCAATCCGCGCGGACCTCCGAGTTTTTGTTTGTGTGTGTCATTGTTCACTCCCCTAAGATCGGCGCGCGTCGAGTGCTCCGCGTCCGCCTCATGCGTCTCAGGCCGGGGGGCGTCATCGCACCGCACAGGGACTACTTCCAGGATCCCAGCGTGGTGCGGCTCCACGTTCCGATCGCGACGAGCAGGGAGGTGGAGTTCAAGATCCGCGGCAGGCCCTACTGCTTGGAGGAGGGGACACTGTACTTCACGAACGTCCGTCAGGTGCACGAGGGGGAGAATCGCTCGAAGCTGGATCGAATCCACCTGGTAGTGGACGTGGAGGCGAGTCTTGCCTTGCAAGACCAGGTGCGCGCGCCAACAAACACCCGCAAGGACGCAGCGGAACAACTGATGCTGCTTGCTCCTGATTTCTCGAGTGCATGTCGCCGAATTTGCCTCCAGCCCATCCTGCTCATCTTTCCTTCTCTCTCCACTTCTCCCGCCACTCGAGTAAGAATGAGTGCCTTGAAATGTTTGTTCGATCTTCGGCCCACCGTTCTAAATTCCAGTGCGGATGTGCAATATATTCAACGCGTGCTGGACATCCAACAGGCTTAACGCCACGCTCCCATCACATATGAGGCCAAGGTCTCTGGATACATCAAGGCTGATGCGATGCTGCAAATGCGACCTCTGCTCCCTGGCATGTTGGCGAAACTGTGTGACTCGAACGTCGACTGCGCTTCAGAAGCAGTGATGCGACCAAGGGCACAATTGATACTCAACAGCAAGTTTGACGGTCGTACGGCTGAGTATATAACACATCGAGTCCGATGCCATGCGTTGTTATGATAATGATATTCCTTATCATAGGTGCGGTATATATCGATCTACGTACCGCCACAATGGTTCCATGTAGGGCACGCTAGCCTCTTTGCAAGCAACAAAGACGCACTAACCGACGCTAGTTCCACATGCTTGCGGCAAGCCCCGCCACCGTGCCATCTCAGCACCGAAATGCATGCATGATGGTTTCGCCGACCTATTCTGGACAGGCTCCGTAGAACCAGATGGATGCTGTTTGGGAAATATCGCTGCGATGCTCTAGTGTGGCGTGGCTATATCGTTACATCTTTGTCACGATGCCTATGCGGGGCTTCTTGGAGTCTCTTTTCTGGGGCTCATTTGGGGGCCTCTGGGTTCTGATTTCATTGGTCGTGCCAGGATAAGGCGACGGGAAAGGGGGTTCGGTCATGATGCGCGCAGGTGAGCTTTTCGATGGTGATGGCGCGCAGGCGGGGGAGCTGTGCAAGGCGTGAAGGAAGCTTCGCCTCGAACAGAGCGGACCATTTCGTGGGGTGGCGGTGCAACCTACGGCGCAACCCGTGGTGCACGGTGATTGCGGCCCAGCTCGTGATTGGGTCATGCGGCGCAACCTGCGTCGCAGGATGGCAGAGAGGACCAACCTGCGACTCGGGGTGGCGATGCAGGCAAAAGTGCAACCGATGGTCGCAACCTTTGGCGCAAGGTGACAGAGCGGACCCTCTCCTGATGCGTGGGGCAGCACAATCTGTGGCGCGACATGTGGCGCAGGGTGACAGAGTGGGCTTGCTCGTCATTCGGCCGTGCGGCGCAACCTGTGGAGCGGCCGCGTGGCGCCGCCTGTGGCGCAACCTGCGGCGCGACTTACAGCGCAGCTCACGACGCAGCCAATGGCGCAGCCCATGGTGCACTGGCCTCCCTGCCGCGCCTGGCGGGGCTACCATGTGCTTGCGTGAGGCTTATTGGACTGGTCTCGTCGGCAGCGGCCGCGGCAGCGGCAGGCTGTCCGTCGCGACCTCGCGCGCGCGCCCGCTGAGGAACAAGTGGGCGACGGAAGAAGACGGGGTCGTCCCGAGATTGGCGCGAAGCTGTCCTCGCAACGCCGCGCGTGAGCGCCCTTTTTTTCCAGTGCGGCGTGCCGCGCTGGCGGCCCGCGCTCGCCGCCGCGTGAGGTCATGTAAGGTCGCCATGCCATCTCGCGCAAGGCCCCTTTCTGATCGTCGCTCCACCGTGTGCCCACTCGCTTTGCGCTCTGCCCCTCCGCAGCCACTGCTGGTCGAGCGGCCCCGAGGGGGGCGTTGGCACGCCGACATGAGCGCAGCGGGGCCGGCGGCGGCACCTTCATGCCCGAGGGGCCCCTGGGCAGCCGCAGAGCGGCAAGCGGGCAATGGATGTCCTGGCGGGCTCTGCCGATGAGCAGCATCGCGGCAGGTGGGACTCCTCCTCCTCCTCCTCCTCCTCCTCCTCCTCCTCCTCCTCCTCCTCCTCCCCCTCCTCCTCCTCCTCCTCCCCCTCCGCCTCCTCCTCCTCCTCCTCCTTCTCCGCCTCCTCCTCCTCCTCCTCCTCCTCCTCCTCCTCCTCCTCCTCCTCCTCCTCCTCCTCCTCCCCCTTCCCCTTCTCCTCCTGCTCCCATGTCGCTGGCACTCGCTGGTGTGGTCCCGGTTCTTCACCGCCAGAACCTCTCCACTTCCACCGCTGCGGGGTCGCGCCCTGGGGCCTCGAGGAGTGGTGGATGTGCATGTCCGCCTGCCTCTTCTGGCGGGGAGGCGTCCACGTCGGCCGCAGGGTCCCAGGGCGAGAGTCCAGAAGCTGTAAGTGTGGATGTGTCCTTGCGGTGCACGTCGGGGTTGAGGGGGAGGGGGGGAGGGGAGCGCGTCAAGCGTGCAGAGAGCGCCTAGGCCTCCCAGATAGGCTCGGAGTAGATAAGGTCGAAGGATCGTGCCGCACCGCCGATGCATCGTCGATGCCGCTCGATGTGGAGCCCAGTTTCCCCCCCACGCCGACGGAGCCGATGCATCGCCGACATCGCCAGCGATGCATCGGCGATGCGTCGGCGATGCGGCGAGAGCATCCGACCGCATCTGCTCGGACCCCATGTTGGAGACCTCCGGAGTGGGCGCACCCCCGCCAGGGAGCCGCGCGCCCGCAGGGCCCTCGGGCTGCTGCTGGCCTTCGTCGCCCTCTCCCAGTTCCTGCCCTCGGAGCCGTTCCTGACCCAGTTCCTGGCGTCGAAGGGGCTGACCAAGGAGCAGGCGGACCCTCCCCCTCCTCCTCCTCCTCCTCCTCCTTCTCCTCCTCCTCCTCCTCCTCCTCCTCCTCCTCCTCCTCCTCCTCCTCCCCCTCCTCCTCCTCCTCCCCCTCCTCCTCCTCCTCCTCCTCCTCCTCCTCCTCCTCCTCCTCCTCCTCCTCCTCCTTCTCCTCGCTGTGCAGGGCCACGTGAACAAGGCCGCCAGGCCACGCGGGGTCTCAGTACAGTCAATTCGTATCATAAGGATGCACGGTAAGGATGCAAGGGCCCTGGTGGGCCATGTTGGCGTTTTTTCGAATGAAGCTGGCAAGCGAACGTCGCTAAGGATGGGCCGAAAGGGCAAGGATGCAAGGGTACCGTTGGGAAGGTTACCCATCCTTCCTATGCGGGTTGACTGTAGTGTGGAGCCGGCCACCCCTGGTGCAAGTGGCCCCTCCTCCCCCCGCCACGTCTTTTCTTGGTTTGTGCAAGCACCCCGAGCAGGTGGACCACGACCTCTTCAGCCTCTGGATCTATGCCCGGCTACCGCTGCTCCTCGTGATCGGCGCGCTGGCCGAGTGCGCAGGGAGTGCCAACGTGCTGCTGCTGGGCTCCGCGTGTGGCTGCTTCACCGTCGCGGTGACACGCTTGAGCGTCTGGATACCTGCGCTGCAGGTCACGCAGCTGACGGTGGCGGCGTCGACGGCGGCGCACACCGGCCCGCAGTACGCTGTGCTCTTCGAGGTCAGTGCGGTCCTGGGCAGCGACTTCCAGAAGCACGTCCACTGGGCGATGGCCGTGCTGCTGTGCTCCAACTGCGCCGCCGGCGCCGTGGGCAACGCCATGCTCTCGGGAGGCCTGCCGTACCAGCGGATCTGGGAGCTGAGCCTGGCGGCGCAGGCGGCCGCCCGCCGTGCCTCCCCCCCTCCTCCGCTCTCCTGCGCGCCCGCGGGGCAGGTCGGATCCTGGCTGGAGCCCTTTTTTCAAAGGGGCAACGTCAGGCCGGGGGGGCCGCCCACGCTCCGAGGAGGAGGAGGAGGAGGAGGAGGAGGAGGAGGAGGAGGAGGAGGAGGGGGAGGAGGAGGGGGAGGAGGAGGAGGAGGGGGAGGAGGGGACGCGCAGCGACTCCCGGTCGCCCGTGCCGTCGATGGGGGGGCCCCATGGGCCCCCCCCCGCCCGGGAAGGTGCGGATATGCGCTGTGGGGGGGCCCGCCGCCGGATTCGCCGACCTCTGTCGGCGGCGCATCGCCGATTCCAGCTCGATGCTTCCCCCCCTCCTCCTCCTCCTCCTCCTCCTCCTCCGATTCTTGGGGCTGCCGAGTGCGGAGTTGACCGTGCGGAGGAGCCCCACAGTGCTGATAGTGCAAGGCCGCTGGAAGCGGCCAGTGCTCCCGAACCCGTTCCCGATGGAGCGAGTTCTGGGTCGTCTGATTAAACTCGTTTTGTTTTTCCTGGGCCGCCCTTGTAGTCTGTCGCCCGTCGTCCCCTCCCCCGCCGCATACGTGTGCCTCTACCTGGCGCCCACGGTGTCGGGGAAGCAGGTGCACGACGTGGCCAGGCAGGCGGGGCGGCCCGCCCGCTCGGCCCACGCCTTGGCGTGCGCTGGGCGCTGATCGAACCGGACCACCAGCTCGAGGCTTGCCTCTTGCTGGTGGCGTGCGGTCCGCGCGCCTCCTCCTCCTCCTCCTCCTCCTCCTCCTCCTCCTCCTCCTCCTCCTCTCCCTCCTCTCCTCCTCCCCCCCCCCCTCCCCTCCTCCTCCTCCTCCTCCTCCTCCCTCCTCCTCCTCCTCCTCCCCCTCCTCCTCCTCCTCCTCCTCCTCCTCCTCCTCCTCCTCCTCCTCCTCCTCCTCCTCCTCCTCCTCCTCCTCCTCCTCCTCCTCCTCCTCCTCCTCCTCCTCCTCCTCCCCCCCCCTGAGCCGGCCCCCCCCCTAACGTTCCCCCTCAGTTGTGCCTGCGGCTGACCTCGTTGGACCGAGGTGCGGTTCGGGCAGCTGCAGAGGGACTTTCGGAGGAGCTCGGCCGGCCCTGCCTAGCTGCTGCGTGCGTGCGCGCACGTCCTCCCCAGTCCGTCCCTCTGCTTGGCTCTCGCACCATGCCGCCGCGCTGGCCGCGGCAGCAGTGACCGGGAAGAGCAGAACGGCTTGGAGAGCTGGGGCGCAGAGTACGCAGGCGCTGGCGAGGCTATGAGCTCACGAAGCCAGCCGCCCGTTGGCCCGCCCTGCTTCTGGGAGGGGGGGTCAGATCGTTTCTTCTTGCGAGAGAGGGAAAGACGGCATAACCAT